GACCTCGGTTTTTGTCCCATCCGAACCATAGTAAAGATCTGTATGTTAACATTTTTATTTGGGATTTGTTTAACCAATTTTATCTCATATTATGCAAGATTGGCGGAATGACGATTGGAGATTAGGCCTATTTGTCACAGGGAGAAGAGCAGCACAAATATATAAGTCCTTTTATTTATTTCGAGTCAGACTGGAATCATAATGAATGATTGGACTAGGTATTTATTCTGCACAATTACAATTGAGGAGAAATATGTATGCATGCCTCACGATGGATTAACTGGTAGCCAATGTCTGAATGTTTTCAAATCTATGATGCCTGCGTTATCAGCATATTAAACCAGCGGCTGCCAGGCAGGATACGCCCACATTTTCGAGAGATGGATAGAAAACAAGCTAAAACGAAAGTGATTTTTCCTACAATCAAGGGCCATAATTCAGGAAATTACAATTCGATATGCGCAAATATCGAAAGGAACCAAGATCTTTGAGTTATAAACTTACATTTCAAGTTTCAACAAAATCGGATAAAAATTGTAACCTCTATAGGGTCCACAACCTTGATATACCTTATTTTTACGCAATTTGAGAACGAGGGGCGGCCATTTTGTCTGTCAGTTTTGGGCCGATTTTCACGAAATTCGAACTCAGTCGTCCTTAGGGTGTAACGGTGATATAATAATACGTTTTTATACGCCCACATTTTCATGTGGACGTATTATGCCGTCGCCCCTGTCCGGACGTCCGTCCGTATGTCCACAATTGTTTGTGGACTCTCTACAGGTCACAATTCTTATCCGATTTCGACGAAACTTGAAATATAGGTTTATCCCCAAAAGATCTCGGCTGCTTTCGATATTGGCATGTATCGGATCGAAACTTCATGGATTATGGCCCCTGTTTGTACAAAAAATCATCTTTTTAGCTTGTGGACCCTATAGAGGTCACAATTTTTATCCGATTTTGTTGAAACTTGAAATGTAAGTTTATAACCCAAAGATCTCAGTTCCTTTCGATATTTGCGCATATCGGACAGTAACTTCCTGAATTATGGCCCCTGATTGTACGAAAAATCAAGTTTTTAGCTTGTGGACCCTATAGAAGTCATAATTTTTATCCGATTTAAAAAAACGTTCAATTATATCACCGTTACACCCTAAGGATGACTGAGTTCGAATTTCGTGAAAATCGGCCCAAAATTGACAGACAAAATATCCGCCGTTCGTTCCCAAATAGTGTAAGAATATGGTATATCAAGGTTGTGGACCCTATAGGGGTCACAATTTTTATCCGATTTTGTTGAAACTTGAAATGTAAGTTTATAACCCAAAGATCTCGGTTCCTTTCGATATTCGTGCATATCGGACCGTAACTTCCTGAATTATGGCCCCTGATTGTACGAAAAATCACGTTTTTAGCTTGTGGACCCTATAGAAGTCATAATTTTTATCCGATTTAAAAAAACGTTCTATTATATCACCGTTACACTCTAAGGATGACTGAGTTTGAATTTCGTGAAAATCGGCCCAAAATTGACAGACAAAATGGCCGCCATTCGCTCCCAAATAGCGTAAGAATATGGTATATCAAGGTTGTGGACCCTATAGGGGTCACAATTTTTATCCGATTTTGTTGAAACTTGAAATGTAAGTTTATAACCCAAAGATCTCGGTTCCTTTCGATATTCGTGCATATCGGACCGTAACTTCCTGAATTATGACCCCTGATTGTACGTAAAATCACGTTTATAGCTTGTGGACCCTATAGAAGTCATAATTTTTACCCGATTTAAAAAAACGTATTATTATATCACCGTTACACCCTAGGGAGACTGAAATCGAATTTCGTGAAAATCGGCCCAAAATTGACAGACAAAATGGCCGCCGTTCGTTCTCAAATAGCGTAAGAAAATGGTATATCAAGGTTGTGGACCCTATAGAGGTCACAATTTTTATCCAATTTTGTTGAAACTTGAAATGTAAGTCTATAACCCAAAGATCTCGGTTCATTTCGATATTCGCGCATATCGGACCGTAATTTCCTGAATTATGGCCCCTGATTGTACGAAAAATCGCGTTTTTAGCTTGTGGACCCTATAGAGGTCATAATTTTTATCCGATTTAAAAAAACGTATTATTATATCATCGTTACACCCTAAGGACGACTGAGTTTGAATTTCATGAAAATTGACAGACAAAATGGCCGCCGTTCATTCTCAAATAGCGTAAAAATATGGTATATCAAGGTTGTGGACCCTATAGAGGTCACAATTTTTATCCGATTTTGTTGAAACTTGAAATATAAGTTTATAACCCAAAGATCTCGGTTCCTTTCAATATTTGCCCATATCGGACCGTAACTTCCTGAATTATGGCCCCTGATTGTACGAAAAATCATGATTTTAGCTTGTGGACCCATTAGAGGTCATAATTTTTATCCGATTTAAAAAACCGTATTATTATATTACCGTTCCACCCTAAGGACAGTTGAGTTTGAATTTTGTGAAAATCGTCCCAAAATTGACAGACAAAATAGCCGCCGTTTGTTCTCAAATAGCGTAAAAATATGGTATATCAAGGTTGTGGACCCTATAGAGGTAACAATTTTTATCCGATTTTGTTGAAACTTGAAATGTAAGTTTATAACACAAAGATCTCAGTTCCTTTCGATATATGCGCATATCGAATTGTAATTTCCTGAATTATGGCCCTTGATTGTAGGAAAAATCACTTTCTTGTTAGCTTGTTCTCTATCCATCTCTCGAAAATGTGGCCGTATCCTGCCTGGCAGCCGCTGGTTTTAAATCGGATAAAAATTATGACCTCTATAGGGTCCACAAGCTAAAAACGCGATTTTTCGTACAATCAGGAGCCATAATTCAGTGAGTTACGGTCCGATATGTGCGAATATCGAAAGGAACCAAGATCTTTGGGTTATAAACTTATATTTCAAGTTTCAACAAAATCGGATAAAAATTGTAACCTCTATAGGGTCCACAACCTTGATATACCATATTTTTACAGGGCTTGCCACGAGACGCGAGTAATTACTCGCGCGCATGCTACGCTCGCGTAAAACCAAATTTACGTGAGTGATTAAGTACTCGCGCAAATATAAAAAATAATTTAATTAGAAATAATGGAATATCGTAATAAAAAAAGCCGTAAACAATTTATATGCCTTCATATTGATGCACTATTGCGCACGCGGCGTGTCTTTCCAGTGCCACCTGTTGATACTAAAAATACTTTGAGAGGCGTACTGCCAGGCGGTTTTTAAGCGGATGTCCTTTGCCGTGTCTGGATAATCAAAAATTGAGCGGATGTTGTCGTTTCTATAGCAATTCTTTCGATCCCGCATCTTTTCTGCAAATTGATGGGATTGAAATTGTTGTGCCTGTTCTTTTACCTTTCTAAGCTTTACCCGAATCCCCTTAGCACGCCAACGATGGCAAAGGGAAATGATTACTCGCGCACATTATTCTGCGTGAGTAAATACATGTACTCGCCTCACTTGCGCAAGTCTATATTTGCTGGAGTAGTCATCTACTCGCCTCCAATTTGCTCGTAGCAAGCCCTGTTTTTACGCCATTCGAACTCAGTCGTCCTTAGGGTGCAACGGTGATATAATAATACGATTTTTTAAATCGGATAATAATTATGACCTCTATAGGGTCCACAAGCTAAAAACGTGATTTTTCGTACAATCAGGGGCCATAATTCAGGAAGTTACGGTCCGATATGCGCGAATATCGAAAGGAACCGAGATCTTTGGGTTATAAACTTATATTTCAAGTTTCAACAAAATCGGAAAAAAATTGTGACCTCTATAGGGTCCACAACCTTGATATACCATATTTTTACGCTATTTGAGAACGAATGGCGGCCATTTTGTCTGTCAGTTTTGGGCCGATTTTCACGAAATTCAAACTCAACCGTCCTTAGGGTTTAACGGTGATATAATAATACGGTTTTTTAAATCAGATAAAAATTATGACCTCTATAGGGTCCACAAGCCAAAAAACGCGTTTTTACGTACAATCAGGTGCCATAATTCAGGAAGTTACGGTCCGATATATGCGAATATCGAAAGGAACCAAGATCTTTGGGTTATAAACTTACATTTCAAGTTTCAACAAAATCGGATAAAAATTGTGACCTCTACAGTGTTCACAAGCCAAAAACGTGATTTTTCGTATAATCAGGGGCCATAATCCATGAAGTTACGGTCCGATAGATGCCAATATCCAAAGGAACCGAGATCTTAGGGTGATAAACCTATATTTCAAGTTTCATTGAAATCGGATAAAAATTGTGACCTGTAGACTGTTCACAAACAATTGTGGACGGACGGACGTCCGGATGGACAGGGGCGACGACAATATACGTCCACATGAAAATGTGGGCGTATAAAAATGAAACAGGATATTGGAAAATCTATACCATTTCACCAACACCGCTTGGTTAATTTCTCCTCGGATTCGGTGTATGAAGGCACTGCCCAGCGAATTAGGAAGAATCTTCCAACGTAAGTGACAGGCAAAGAATGTCTACACTTTAGAAAACATGATAAAACCTACAACTGTACAACTTTGGCATGTGTACTTCAGTTACTGTAGTTATGCCGTATGGACGCTAATGAACTACATTCATTTGTAGTATTAAAAACGCCGTGTTTTTATGCCACGCGAGTGTAGCGTTTACTCGAACTAGCAGTCAAGACTTGATATTATCGGTTAGAGTTAGCATGGACACATGTCACTTTGCCAGGAAGATAACTTACTGTGCGTGCCCAAAGCTAGTCCGAGCCGCCGTTTTAATAATGATCCGTTAACGACAGCCAAGATTCAACAGCGGTCACAAACGGCTGATGTCCGACGACATAATACGACCACATGAAAATGTTGGCGTAAAAAATTGTAACTGGCACCTTCCTGTTGGCATTTGGCTTTGTTTGATTTGTTTAGACAAGTCACATAATAAGACTAAAACAACCACGCCTAATTTTTTCACATTTTATATCCATAATTTGTATTACTTATATTACACCATGGCACAAACATTTACTTAGTTGAATGTAACACAGACTTTATCATAGTAACAACATTTACTTACAAATAGTAAACAAAAATATATATGTAATTCATCATATATTTTAATTCTAATCTTTCTCTCATCTCAACAACAAGAGTTTTTATCTAACACACTTTAAATATTAAAAAGAAAACATGAGATTAGGACTTGCGATTAACTGACTGTGCTTTATATTATCTATTCCGCCCTATATATGTTAGTAAAAGCCCTATTCATTAAAATTAAGAAACTCCAGCATGTAACTTTTATTGGAGCTCAAAGTATTCACATTCCAAAGAACAGAAATTTGAAGGAAGAAAAAAAGCAGCTGTGTGCAGTTCTGAATATTAATTTCCTGTGGGCATACATCAATATCAGTTTCTTTAATCTTACAATGCTACAAAAGGAATGATTTAAAATATTTCATCAATTATATTTGATAGAAACTAAGTATTGAACATACTATTTGATTTCATCGATATACAGAATGAAACACAACAGACCATTTACAAGATAATTTTCTCTCTTATCTTAAATTTTTCATATTATATTAAATACTTATGACTTTAATACAAGTTACAATCCAAAGTTATAAATTGACATATTTTGAATTGGACAAACTACTTCAATCATTTAAATTATATTTCATTTGCGACCATTTGCAATATTCATTTTAACACAAAAAAAAAAATCATTTGATCTGGACATAATTATCAGGGAGCAGGAATTAGAATGTAATTGTAGGGTGAAGCTAAGTTTACATGACGGGTTTTCTAGGACACAGAAAAGATAGTTTTATTAAGGGCTATATTTTAGTTACAATAAGGTCAACAGTTTCGAGTAAATTCTTAAGTCTGAGAATGCTTTGTAAACTCGCGGCCAGAGTGGTTGCATTCACACAGATTCAAAATTTTGTCAAAGATTTTTTTGGAAAGAAAAGGTTTGCCACATCTGCTACAAGGATTAAAAAACTTTGTTCATGTGTCATATTTTCCTTTGTCATATCCACTTTGTTCAAATCAGGCAAACTCTTTGATATGAACTTTAATTGAATTATGTTATATTTGCAAATCTGAAAAATTGATCATAATAGTAATTGATCTAGTAATTTGGTGCAGACTGCACAGTTTTAAAGAAAATCAGACCCTAAAAGGGAACAAGACTATTGCTTACAATACCATGAAAGATGTGTCAAAGCAGATTACAAATCAGTTTATTTGATATAGTTTTAAATTTCAAGCCTATCTGACAAAGAAAATGTTGCTTTGTAAATTCAGCTTTTAAAAATTAACTGCCATGCATATGTCTTTGATGTCAGTTTCATATTTTTTACTCTACATTTTTTATCAATAATACATGCATAAAATTTACAATTATTTCCTTTTTAAAAACACTATATATTAATTTTCTGTTTACAGTTTCGTGAGGCATTTTCATCTCAAAAATTGTGGTTCATTAACTAGTCTCAGTTGCAGTGCAAAAAACACAGATGATCAGACAACTATTGAACCTCTACGTACATCCTTGATAATTGAAGATCTGCACAAACTATTTCAACTGGATGACACACTTAACCAAATCTCTTTGCATTCATTCATTAGTATTATTATTAACATGGCATGTCATGGACATGTAGCAACAACTAGATTATTGTGAATCCTGGACTTGAAATGAAATATTATTCTGCCTTTTTTTTAGAAATGAGAATAAATTGGTTTGGAAAGTAAAAATCCCAAATCTATTAACATCACATCAAACTTACTTTCTAAAGTCCAGTTTCTTAACATACATGTAGTTACAATCAAGAGTGTAAAATCATATTCTGCAGGTCACTCTAAAAACCCAATGTGCAGATGCAAAAATAATATTACTGATCTAAATATAAATTATAAGAAATGTAATTTACTTGATAATAGTTACATGTCACTAAAACAAATAATAAATTGCTACTAAAACCAATATCACACTTATTAAGTATAATGCAGAAAAAACAAAACAAACTAAACAACATTATTCTAATAATCTTGATGAATATATAAAAATTCTTATGAAAACCATATTACTATATTTAACTGCACTCTTACACTTCAAAAGTAGTTCTTAGTTGAATGCAATAATTATAGAAATATGTAAAGAATAGTTAGAGTTTAGTAATTTGTCATATATACTAGCAATAGGCATGCAGTGTAACTTACAGTGACTAGTTCACACAAGTTAGACAAAAATTAACATTGCATGACTTATTCTTAATTACACTACTGCATGTTGGAAATGGTAATAAAATTATTCATTGGGGGAGGTAACTATCTCTATTTCTGTAACACATCTTTCAGGAGCCCACATATTTAAACTTCAAGACTGCCGCAATAGATGCATTAACCTCAGAAAAGCCACAAAAAAAACGAAGATTTACAGTGGAGAATTTAACTGTAAGATTACTTTATGAATAAAAAGATCAAGGGAAGACCAACTGCTTATATTACAACCGATGTTGACCTAGCTGAATCAAATGTTTACTGGAATTTTTAGTCTTTTATACACTCTTACTGTCAAGTCATATTCAAATATTTACTGATCCAAAGTTAAAATAATTTTGACATTAAGTCCATCTATTAAACAGTGATACTCTAAGTGCAAAATCTTAAGCTTTATAAACTATATGGTTGAAACAATACTTTTGTTGAATTCTGATGCAACATATTTCACAATTAATCAGGCTAATTTCATTAAAGACTTAATTATCATCTAATATTAAAGGACTAAATCTTCATTTGATTCAAGTGGACCGAAATATGAATATAACAGCACAATAAAAACTGTAAGCTGAGTGAACTTTACATATAAATAAGAAGTGGTATCAGATATTCTATAAGCACTAACTACGCATACCCTGTCTCATGCATTTATAGCTACATGTGATTACGTTTAAGAACTAATATCCCAACACTTTTTAAGCATTGGTTCACTTTCAACAACACATTAAATTTCATACATAGATCTATCAATTAAAATAGATTTGACCAGCAGAGACAAGATTCATTTTATTACCGGGTACCTTCTATTGTGGTTTATTATTAACTATCTAATCTCACAGTTTTCTCAACAACTCAAGTAATAAATACAAGTGTTTTCTTTAAGTACTTATCCTGAGATCTTTTGCACATTAGTCAAATTTTACCGAATTTGAGGGTCTGACAAAAATTCAACGTAAGAGAAATACAGTAAATATAAATGAGGAATAAAGGCTGATGTACCAAGGCATTTAAACAATAATAAGTCAAGGACAAATATCAGACAATCAATTAGGTATTAATGTAATTGTTGAGGTAGCCATGTATACATTTTCTCTTGTATTTGCCTTATGCCAGTAATAAGATCTCCTCTTTTACCCCTGTACAATCAGTAAGGGCTATCGCTATTGTTAATGAAGGCCAGTAGATCCAATTTAACTTAAATTTACCAATTATTAATAATGTTTATTAACTCAACAAGAAATTTAAAACGTATATTTAAGTTGTTAAATTTTACCTAAAATTTATTTATTTCTTTGTTTGTTTAAAAAAATAATCATTTGCTGTACTATACAGAAAATAAACACTTGCAACAGACTTAGGTTGCAAATAAGAGGTGATTCCAAAAAGATATAAATGTCAGGCCAGCTTTTCATGATAAACAAGCAGTTTTCAATGAAAATACCAAAAGCGAATGTATATCAATGATATTAATAATATATCAATAACATTAATTAAATGTATTTATCAATGATACTAATTATATATCAATGATATTAATTATATATCAATGATATTAATTATATATCAACGATATTAATTATAATCATATTAATATTTTATTTTGTACCTTTACATAAAACACTAGGTAACAGGTGTATGGAATAATAATAATAAAAAAAACCTTGTTTACAGCAAGGTTCAAATATTACTTCTTATATTTTAGAAATGAGCTCTTTAAATGCTACCAAGTCTATTGATCATACAGAATAATATCTGGGCATATTAAATATAAAGACATTTCAAGTACTTAAAAATATTTTTTTTAGGTGTGTTAAAATGGGATCCTGGCCTAGTAATCTCTATTTTTTTCAGTTTAAATTAATTTATTTGCAAAATTTAAATGAATGAAGTATGGCTATTTATTAATATATCTTACATGATTTCCAGCAACTATTAAACTCTTTAAAATCAACCTGCACCACAGATGCCATTCAATAACTATTCAGAAACGTCCTGTCCTCTGATTGGCTAGTATCTACATCTTTTTAAATCCAAATTAACCAATCTTTATTAAGAATTAGCTGTCAACTTTTAATTCAACAACAACCAATCCTGATGAACCTGACATAAACTAATTGTAATAATGATTTGTGTTTTGTTAACATGGGTTAAGTGAACTATATACAATATGACACAATGAATCCATAATGACGACCATTTTGGATATAGGAAAAATAATAAAAAGCTACCATGGAACCTGTAAATGTAAGTTTCGTCCGAGAACAGAACGAACATCGCTGGAAAATCGTAAAGCATCTAATAATGGTAGGAGACAGAGCAGTGCGGTATCAGTCGCATCACTGAACCATGACTTGATTGGTATGGCATTATCTGAAATAAGGAAGTCATGGTTGAGATTGCCAGTGTAATATTTTAGGACTAGACCCAGTATGTCTACATGTATATTGTCACCTCTTGAAGAACTATTCCAAAATTGAACAAGCAATGTTTATTTTCCCTTCACAGGGAGGAATATAAGTGTTAACAATGTAATTTGTCATGACAAATGAAATGAAATGAAGATGGGCATATGCCATACAGTGTCCTGTGATGAGGGAAATTTTGCCAGCAGCTCTACAACCTACTCTTATTTCTAATTTCTACTGTCAAGGGTTCATGCCAATATGTACACCTTTTTTTCCCCCCAACCAAAAGACTAGATACTGTTCCTTGCCAGGCCCCGACAAGGGGAAGCCATGCCAAAAAATCCTGAGGAACTTCTCAACCAACAATGGGAGCAAACCCAAGACCTAGTTAGCTAGCGAGTGTCTCACTCACCAAGCCAACACGGCTCCCTGTCATGACGAAGAAGGGTGGTTACAATACTTACTAGGATATGAACGATAGGCTACAGGAGAATTATCTAATATAAATATACTGGAGAGATCAGGATTTATAGCAGATAGATCTTTTGTATAACTTCCTAAAATCAGGTTACAATGCTAAAATTATAAATAACATGCATTAATCATAATATTTCTGTTTATAATACACATAATGTTAAATGAGCATAAGCTTCTGTAATTTAAAATGGCTCAACCTCTTTGATTCAGAATGAAAATAAAAATTTTTGTTATTCTATTAATCTCGCCAGAGATGACATATAATTGTAATTGTGTTCATAAACAAGACGACATCCGCACAATCTTTCAAAAACAAAAATTTAGTTATAAAACTAGTCTCATGCCTAATCAAAACAAGAGATTAATCTAATCCAATACTTTATTTTTATCCAAATCAATGAGGGTGATTTCCTTAAATCAAAATACTTTACTTAAAGATGCATTATGTAAGATTTAGATACAGAGCTGGCCGTTCTTGCTAGAATAGTACCAAAATAGATAATGTAAAATAAAGTTATAACAGTTTGGAGTTTTGATATTATGTGGCATTAAATGGCCGATGCATTCTAATCTACTTAAAATCGGAGCCATCTGATGAACTAGAGAGTTGATTATGGGCTTGACATTTGAAGCCAAAATAAAGACCAGCAATAGGCAGATGTAGCTCTTACATGATGGCATCATTAATTGGATAGATCTTTTTTTCTAGTTTGATGAGTGATTATTTATTATATCTGGCATACATATCAAAACATTTTGTTTACTCAAAAATACATAAGAAATGAAATGAAATGGGGTTTAACATCCTACTGTTCTGCTCCAACTGCAGGGCTAGAAATCCATGCGAATCTCTGAAACTTATTCGTGCAAGAGCTTACGCTGCAAATCTACAATGATTTGCGTAAAATATTTGTAAAAAAAAAAATCTCGAAAAATTGTCGAGTCCAACTATTGCATGTCATTCAGGGTGTTTTGAATCAAATTTGTATGACTTACTTTATAGAATACTATATGTATAATAAATAAAATATTTGTTGTGTTTTTGTTTTACCGCTTACTTCTAACTTATAATTTTGACGAGTTCCTGGCTGGCAGTTGTCTTTTGCTTTTGTGTTTATGTTATGCAATGAATTGTGTGGAAAATTCCCCAATCACGACCGAAAGGAATCTGTATGGAAACGGTGCAACTCCATATGCAGTTACGATAAAAATTTATTTGTTTCCTAATTATTTATTTTAGCAGGCCAACCTTGAAACAAAATAATTTTGGGTTCCATTTTATCCTTTCGAGTGATTTGATTCCACAAGTTCCACATCAATATAATGGGGTTAAATTGGGTCATTCCAATTCTATTCTGTCACTGTCAAGGTCGGCCACTTGGTCTTTTTCACTTCGATTTGTGCGGACATAAACTATATTCCTTTATTATGATAATGACATTGTTTTCTGGATATTACTATTTAAGTGTTTACCAAAAATCGCATCTGATTGTTTTATTATCATTGTTGTTGTATTTTGGTGTTTTAGATTAACACAATTTTGTTTTTTAGACAGTTTTATTAATTAAGATTCGGAGGATTCGCACAGACTGCATATATGAGAATCCTCTTAAATTCTCGCAAAAAATGATGAATTTCTAGGCCTGAACTGGGATAATAAAGACTAGCATACACCAAGCATATTGAATTCCAACTGTCAAGGGTTCTTTTTACGTGCACACAAATTGGTACACAGGACCTCTTTTCTTTTTTTTCATAATATGATCCAAACAACTATACGTCGTCCCATGCCAAGCTCTCCGTCCTACATCACTAACAAGGGGGAACCACATCGAAAAATCCAGATGAACTTTCTCGACCAACAACGGGATCAAACACGGGACCTCTGAGTTAGCAAGCCAACATCCTACTCACTGAGCCACCGCAGCTCCCAAATCACTTTAGGCATGCCTTTCAAATTGTAATCACCAGCTATTCTTAAACTTCAGATCTGCATATTTTGCTTCATTTGCATTATAATACTTTGTATCCAAAACCTTTTATCATGGCTTCTAAAGTATAACCTATTCTAGACCACCCGATACCACAAATATCTGATTTACATAAAAAAAAATTTTATCTCACCTGCCTGTAATACCTGCGTTTTAAAATTCCTTTGTTATTATCAAGTTTATCTGCCACTGCGGCTCCATAAATTTCCATGCTTGCTGTAAAAACCACTAGGTCATACCACTGACTAACCTGAAAATAATGAAATGAAATGAAATGGGGTTTAACATCCTACTGTTCTGCTCCTAAACTGGGCTAGATAAATGACCTCATTATGGCAATAAAGAAGGGCTTCCACTTCAAAATGGACAGATAATGCAAGTTACATTCATATTTACGGCACTGTATCATCGATTCATTTGACCACTTTGGTCAGTATGGTGTACACCAGGGATGCTTCTTCAAAATTTTGCTTGACAGACATTTCTAGTTGGGGTTAATAAGAGGAAAGAATTACACAGAAAATGTGTTATGACTAAGAAATAAACAAAGGTTCATTTTTTGAAATGTTACATTGGCCACATGCTCCAGCATCTTGTGAACTGAAGCAATTAAATTTTTTGTCAGTTTAATAGATAAAATGCCAGAATACTGCAATTTACTAAGAACTTACTATTTCAAGAAAATAATCCACATGTGGTCTTTTATGAACAAAAAATCGAACTGGATGTCTATCAATTGTAACCTGTAACAAGAAGATTGTAAATAAATTAAAATATACAAGCCACATTTAATTTTTACACTGTGGTTAATGATGACAAAACTTCTTAAAACATTCATACATACCCAACTCACCAATTATTCTTACGCCGTAACCCATGAAAAAAGGGCCAGTTATTTTTAGTCTCTATCTCCCTTTTTCCTCAACCTTTTGAATGACAATATTTGTTAGACTTTATGGTGTAGAATCGAAGAAAAGGGTTTGAATATACATTTCCTGCCAGGTTTTGGCGAATATTCATGATCTTGAGGCGGAAGGATACAAGAGTTAAAAGGTTGGTTAGGTTGGTGGGGGCAGAAAATTACATGTTTATTGGCCTCTACTTCCAGTTTGTATATCTCAAGTTTTTCTTGATGAACCCCAATATGTGCTTTTGAGCAAGCGGTTGCTACATGTTGCTCCATCTGTGGTAGAAAGTGTTCTATCCAACGAAAATTTGGGAAAAAGTTAGAGTCGGTCTCTAAGAGACAAGAATTAACATTAAAGTCAATGGGTATATCATTGGTGACCTGTGGCCATATATTTTGGTGATAAAAGAGAGTAACTTCCCCTGCCTATGTGCTGGGAGAAACCCACAATGCATTCAAATTGAAAATATGCTTGATACTAGATTAAGGCCACCAGGGTAATGAAGAAAGAGTACATATCTGATTAAAGATATATTTCCTTGACAGTGACGGTCCTAACCATCAATTGGAAAATACATCCAAACTACCTAAAAATATATCTGTCATCAAAAAATGATAGACATCTTTTAAGATACAGTACTTTATTCTAGGAAAGTTTTTTTTTGACAAATTAACTATGTACACTTGCAGGATGATGAATGAACAGGGCTGATGGTAACACACAGTATAGGAATAATGTAGTTAGAAGACTGTTTTTAGTAATAATAACCTAAATTCACTGCTGACTTTTGAGTTTATATTTTTATTTTTCCAGATCATTCAACATAACATACTTTCAGATGTTAAATGATCTAATTTGAATGTTATGAAATGCATAAACAATAATCCAAAATAGCAAAACACAATTAAAAAGAGAAAATAGGACCAAATCCAAATAAAGAAATGTATCTAGTCCTTAAACAGATGAAATGGATACATTGATATTATGTGATATACTCACCTTTAAGACAAAATCTGGTGGAACTCCAGGTTTAACTGTTTGTCTTAGAACACCATCATGATGCGAATGTATCAACGTCTCATCCAAATCTAAAACTAATGTTTTTCTCCTTAGCATACCTAAAAATAATGAACATATCCTATGATGAAGATTTTTTTAAATCACACCTTTTGGATGTAGTAGCGTAAGAGAAGAAGTATACAGACAGATCTTTCACTAGTACAAGGTCATTAAGCTTACATCAAAAAAAAATAATGCTAGCAAAAACTAAATGCATTAAATACATGTAAGCTTATAGTCTGTAGCTAGTTACATAGCCATAATCATTTGGTTCAACAGTAACAAACAATAGGCAATGTGACGTCCTATTCTTTGTGACATGATTATTTTTCAGCAAAGTTCTATTGATTTGATAAAATAACACAAATAAATTCTAAATATTATTTACCCAAAATTTACTCTATCGTGTAAAATCATGACATCACAAGGTAGTTGAGGTCACATTTCTCATCCATATTCTGTAACTCGTTTATATAATATACTGATGTCCAAAAGAAAGTATACACACTAAAAGTATGACTATGTTTTGTTTAGATTAAAAACATTTGATAAAGCATTACTGAGTTTGTCTCTTGCATCCAAACTCAACATTTCTAAACAAAATTGACATTCCACCCAAATAACGTATACCATGCAAAAACGACTTTGGTTGATGCAGCAAAAGATGCACAGTCAGTGTATACTTTCTTTTGGACATTAGTATATAACTTAGTATGTAATGCGACGTGAAAGTGTGACGAGTTTGAGCTCTCTAGTATTGAATCCATGCATAGATAATTTCACAGACAGATAGTGATCAAAGGACCCTGGCCCAGCCGACTTAAATCATTCCAGTCATAACTGCACATTAATTATACCCCTTTCCTGCAAACAATCATATACGTTTGATCTTTGTCAAATTTCCTAAATGTCAAGATCAAGTGCGTAAAGGAAACCACTCTGAAAATGCTGTAAATACTCTGAGAAAAATCAAAGCGTGGTGACACTCTGTAGACTTAAACTATGCTATTTGACTTCATCAATACTATTTGAGACCTTGCTCTTGTTTTATATTTTCCCTGCTAATAGTGAGTTAAACGTAATTTAATGTTATTGTATTGCAAAATTCATTTCAAGAAGTCACATGCATGAATGAGGAAAATAGTTTGCAAGGGTAAATGAGAGGCTTCGAACAATAGCTAAAAAAGTAAAAACAAACAAAAATCGAAAGACAGATAATTTTCTAGACCATAAGAAATTTGGGTTTTGTCACAAATATAAATCATTGCCATATGATTAGGGAAAAAAACAGCCTTGTAATTTGTAATACAGAAGAATATGATTCACAACTGTAAAAACTCAACAGTATGGTTCTGTTATTTAACTATTGTACTTGTAGCATGAAGAAAGAAAACATAGAAATTTACCAGTGTATAATTCCCATCTGACTTATTGAGGAGGAAAATGAATTTATTAGTCAGCAGAGACTCAAGATTGAAAAGGTCAACATGAGCATCAAATGTTCCTGAAAAACATGTTTACTTTCTGTAAGTTTGGGTCGTACTGTTCTTAATATACATAGCTTAAAGATGCATTATGTAATAGCAAAATCTGCCTATCGCAGGTCTTTATTTTGGCTCCAAATGCTATTTATTTAGATAAGCCCATAATCAACTCTCTAGACATTGGATGGCAAGAATTTAAATGGATTAGAACACCCTTGAGATTTAAAAATGCATAAAAATTTTTTTACTTGCCCGAGATTTAAAAATCTAATGATAAAATGCATGATAAAGACATACTTTTATTTGCCCAGTACAGTAGATTTTCCAACACTCATAACTTTGCTCAGAATTCAGAATAAAGTAATTTGAATGAAATTTTCAATACCTTCATTTTCCCATACTTTTTTTTAACTATTATAGCAAGAATGGCCAGCTCTTTTTTCTAAATCTAACATAATGCATCTTTAAAGTCTCAAATTAACAAAGTTATGTTCAATTGAAATTTCATCAATTCACATGTATGCTGCTTTTTATGTAATAACAAGCCGCAAACAGAAATGATAGGCCTTTTTTTAATAAAACAATCTGATTGAAACCAAGCCTCAATGTTATCTAGCATTGGTATTTTGTTATGTTTTCTTCATTAAATGTTAAACAAGCCAACAGTAAGACTGATGTCCCCCATCACAATCCCATAATCAATAGATGACATGTATACAAATTAATTCAAATTGTACATTTATCTATTTGAACAGAATCGAGCAATCAAACTGGTTATCTATACTTAGTCTAAGCAGAAAATGTTCACAATCGAACTCAGTCAAGTGTTTGAAGTACATGTACCTGGTAGTGAAACTATACACTAAGTTTGAAGTTTCATTACTCTGCCTGAGTTAGAATCAGGGTTATCTTGTCCCAAAGCATCGGCCAATGAAATTGCTTAGCTTTAGCGGATAATGTTAATCATTCTAATGTAATTAAAAGCAGAGTTGTTATGTCCGAAAGTCTTGACAAATCAAATTGCATATCGCTACAGCAGACCTGCGGTTGCCAGGCAAGATACGTTCACATTTTGCAAGAGATGGATCAAAAACAAGCTAGAAAAAAATTGCAATTTTTCGTACCATCAGGGGCCATAATCCAGGAAGTTATGTTCTGAAATGCACGAATATCGAAAGGGGCTGAGATCTTTGGAATATATAAACATTTTTGGGTCAGATTTTTATGATACTCAAACTCAACCTTCATTGATGTTTAACGGTGATATATTTAAACGGTTTTTAAAACTGTATACAAATTGTGACTTTTTTTAAACATAAATTTAAAGCTTCATCAAAATCAGATAAAAATTTTGACCTCTGGAGGGTAAACAACCTTCGTAGTACATACTTTTACACAATTTGCATACAAGGAGCGTCCATACTGTGTCAATCAGAGGATATTAACTTTAGCCTCTTAAGAGTCCACAAGATTTTTCAAAGTGATCAAGGGCCATAACTCTGGCAGTTATTATCAGAAATCGGTGAAAATCAACAGGCTTCTTCATGTCATGACTTTAAACCCTGTGTATAAATTAACTTTTAACGTCCACAAGATATTTAAAGATAGTTTGCCAGGCAACGAAACATGCCCACAGCAGCTATATTGTCCGGGCAGTCAACAAGAGTTGTCACATATTTTTACTTTTTTCGGTAATGAAACATTTATAATACATTAAAATAGAATTTGTTTGGTTTTTATAAAGTTCTGCCCCATGCTAACGTTTAGTATACAAAACTTTTAACATCATGGATTTAGGTGTTCAAGTCATAAAGATTCTTTGAAAATCAATATACTTGTTCGTCTCGAAACCTTAAACACTGTTTATAAATTTAAAGTCAATCGAATATTAACTTTAGCCTCTAGAGCGTCCACAAGATTTTTCAAAGTGATCAAGGGCCACAACTCTGGCAAAAATATTCGGAAATCGTTGAAAATCACTAGGCTTCTTCGTCTCATGGTCTTCAACACTGTATATTAATTTAAGGTCAATCAGATATTAACTTTAGCCTCTAGAGCGTCCACAAAATTTTTCAAAGTGATCAAGGGCCATAACTCTGGCAAAAATTATCAGAAATCACTGAAAATCAATAGGCTTCTTTGTCTCATGACCTTAAACACTGTGTATCACTTTAAAGCCAATCGGATATTAGCTTTAGCCTCAAGAGCGTCCACAAGATTTTTCAAAGTGACCAAGGGCCATAACTCTGGCAGTAATTATCGAAAATCGTTGAAAATCAATAGGCTTCTTTGTCTCATAACCTTAAACACTGTGTATAAATTTAAAGTTAATCGAATATTAACTTTGACCTCTAGAGCGTCCACAAGACTTTTTGAAGTGATCAAGGACCATAGTTCCGACAGTAATTATCGAAAATTGGTGAAAATCAATAGGCTTCTTCGTCTCATGACCCTAAACACTGTGTATAAATTTAAAGTCAATGGGATATTAACTTTAGCTTATAGAGCGTGGACGCCGGACCGACAGAGGGACGACAACAATATACGACCACATTTCAATGTGGGCGTATAAAAATGATCACGGGTCAGCCGTAACTCTGGCAGTAATTATTGGAAATCACTGAAAATCAAAAGGCCTCTTCGTCTTATGACCTTAAACACTGTGTATAAATTTAGAGTAAATCAGATATTAACTTTAGCGTCTAGATCGTCCACAAGATATTTCAAAGTGATCAAGGGCCATAAGTGCCAGTAATTATCAAAAATCATTGAAAATCAATAGGATTCTTCTTCTCATGATCTTAATCATTGTGTATAAATTTAAAATCAACCAGACATTGACTATAGAATCTAGAGCGTCCACAAGATATTTCAAAGTGATCAAGGGCCATAACTCTGGCAGTAATTATCAGAAATCGTCAATCTGATTAAAACACATAACCTATTTCGTTTCTTTTTTTTATACTTCAAAATTTCGTTTTACGTGTCTTCAGAACAGTAGGATCTGGAAAAGTTGTTATATAAGCCACATTCTGGTTAATGTGAGGGATTAGCCAATGAAAGTATAAAAAAAAACGAAACAAAATATAGATCTGTATTTTAATCAGATTGCGGAAATCATTGAAAATCAATAGGATTTTTCGCCTCATGACCATAAATACTGTGTATAAATTTAAAGTCAATCGGATATTAATTTTAGTCACCAGAGCGTCCACAAGATGTTTTAAAGTGATCAAGGGCCATAATGCTGGCACTAATTAACAATAGGTTTCTTCGCCTCATGACCTTAAACACTTGGTATAAACTTAACATTTGCAATCATAGATCATAATTATTAATTAGAAAACAGAACTACATAACTAAAAATATATTTGTTACCAAAAAGATTATGTCTTTTGCAAGAAGATCAATGGCAAATACTGGTGTTACTAGGCAATCATGGAACATTTGAATTGAGCAAATTTAAAATCAAATGTACATATTCACATTTATGAGATAATCAAATTCTGGGGCAATTAACTCATCTGAAACTATTTCATAATTAGTACAAATTATAATTCTGTACAGTGTCTCTTTTTTAAAAAAAAAATAGTTAAAAGTTCAAAAACATGCCTTTTTGCAAAAACCTTGGAATTATTTTTAATTATTTCATCACCATTCACCATGCAGTGTTATTTATAAAAGATTTTACATCTTACAAGTGCCTGTGACCTAGGGGTGCATGGTTCACAGTCTGATTTAGATTAACATTTTATTGTCTTGTACAGTTCATGAAATGAAATGGGGTTTAACATTCTACTGTTTTGCTCCTACTGGGCTAATGAAGACAGCTATACGCCATGCAGTGCACTATTATTAGGGAAATTTTGCCTGGACAGCGACGCAATGGTCTACTCTTATTTTGAATTCCAACTATCAAGGTTTTTTTTACACACACGCCAATATGTACATGTGACCTCGTTTTTTTTTATCCATCCGAACGACTCTACATTTTCCCTTGCCAGGCCCTCCGTCCTACACCACTAACAAGGGCGAACCACACCGGAAAATCCTGATGAAATTTCTCAGCCAACGCCGGGATTGAACAAGGGACCTCCAGGTTAGCAAGCCAACGTCCTACTCACTGAGCCACCGTGGCTCCCTGTACAGTTCATAATGACATCAGAGAAATTAATAATTAATTCATCTTAAAGAGAGAGAGAGAGTTTAACCTCCACTTGACAAAGTAGGTCATTTAGTGACTAAGGCTGTGCAAAAATATCGATATAATCAGTAGAAGTTATTTAGCGATACGATAATCGATATTGAAATTCAAATATTTATTATCGGTATATTTACCTTCTGCAACAAGTTAAGGTCACTTTCACATGACTGAACTTGCCGTAGTCTGGCATGCAGACAAATGAACGAATACACAACGTCAACACAACAACTATTTTCCCCCTCTGCTTACAAACTGACACATTTTAAATATATATTATTGTAAAAAAACTAAACTTTAAGATTAAATACATTATTTTAATATTTTCGTTGTTTTTGTTGTTATTACTAGTTGAAACTAAAATAGGTCACGCACTTTGTGAACAATTACGATCACATGTGATATAGTAAAATTAGAATTATCTCCCTTCTTTGCTCTTGATTGATTTGTAGAGAAATTGTCTGCTTTCACGATAAAACTAATTGTATTATTAATGATCAACTCAGCTTTTATTACTAAATCATGTCAGATACAGCCCATACAAAACACGTTTTTGACTTCCCGGGAAAATATCTATATCTCTCGTAATTTCTTGGAAGAATTCTACTTTGGTTTTCGTCAAAATTAACCAATCATAAAAATTCTACTTTGAAAGCCGGTAATTATTTTTTTATTGTCCAATCAATAGACGCCTTCTATTATATTTTATTCTATTATTAGTAACACTGTGTGATCGCCAGTAACTTGCAAAGAGAAACCATGTATTGTCTTTGTATTTATCGGAGATATTGGAATAAAAAAAAAGGTTCAAATGAATCAAGAACAAAACTTAGAATAATACTCAAGTTAATCCTACATTTAGCAACTAATTATTTTACATTAATTGATTTTTTTACGTACATCGGCACAGTATTAGACTAGGATAATAACACTACTGTAACTCGATCAACACAAATAACAGGTCGGTAAAGTTCGGTTTTTTCGGAAGAATGATTGATAATCGATTATCGCTGACAAATTCTTGCCGATAATCGATATTGAAATTTCATATCGATTCCCAGCCTTATTCGTGACTAACATATCGTTCAATTTTAGTTCAATAAATCGCTAAGCATAGGGGTCTTCAACAGTGGGAGGAAACCGGAGGAGCCAGAGAAAACCCACGACCCTACACTTTGTCACGTACATCCAGGGAATTGGAACGACAGTTGACTCAATGACAGACCTTATGATACAACACGCACACGCTAACCATTCGGCCACCCCACCACATCCACACACACATACATAGAGATCGTACACTGCCATAACATACCTTAACTGCAATATCAGACCAAATAATCTAATATTACATAAATCTAAATACTTTTGTTTGCATATAGGTGCACATCCACAAAGCATTTGTATCAATACAAGTTTAATCTATGTAAATATGCAAATAAGTATAACAAATAAAGAAGGCTACTTACTAAGTCTATGTTTGGATAAAGGAGACAGTGGTATATGTTCATATTTAACTGTTTGGTGTTGGATAATCTGAAATAGAAAACAAACTAAATGTAGATTTTATATCTATTTGTTAAAGATACAATATGTAAGATTGGGATAAAGAGCAGACCATTTTTGCTATAATAGCTCAAAAATAGATAATGTAAAATGAAAATATTGAAAATATTATTCAAATTACTTCATTCTGAGCCAAGTTATCACTGTTTGTAGTTTTGACAAGATGTATGCATTGTGGTAACCAGGGCACTGGTATGTTCGCGACCTATCCTCGCTTTCCCATTTTTAGATTAAATTTTTAAATGGCAAACCATTCTAATCTAGTTAAAATCTTGAGCATCCGATGTCATCTAGAGTTGATTATGGTCTTGCTTGTTAATAAATGTCTAATTAATAGATTATATAACATTTCAGGCCTAAAGAAAGACCTGCAATAGGAAGATTTAGCTATTGAAAATGTATGTTTAATTGACACAAATTAATGTTACTTTTATTGTTTAAAGACAACATGAGCTCACTGGGCTCTTTATCCATAGAAAGATAGCATGGGTTATTATTCCCCTGAATTTTGGCATTGTCAGAAATATATATACATGTACTAGTATAATATAACACATGTAGTTTTATTAAAACCGAATGTCATAAGAATGTGATGTTATGCTGGAGTCATCGAAGGTCCGAGAAATCTTTATGACTTGGCATTTCAGTTTCAGCAACATGTAGTTCAAAAACAGTTTCAATCCCATTATCTAAATGTAAATAAGATGGTTTTGACCAAACCATCTGTGGGGAAACCTTTCCTACATGTATAACATTAACAGTCTACAAAATACCACTATACAAATTACAACAGTTTGTAAAATGAGGAACACATTAATTTGACAAATTGTGCAGCTACATTCTATTAATCAACCATTCTATTTTATTGCTAGTTTTCATATTTCACATTTAGAGTATTTCTTTGTTATTGTTAGGCTGGAATTCAGACACTCCAATTGGTCAAGAACAGACCTTGAATAAATCTCAGCGGTACCTACCACAATCATCTTTAAAAACTTTCTTGATACATGTACCTCAATTTTATTTTTAAATTAAAGACTGCGTACTCTCAATTGGAAGGGGACAAGACAATTAGCCTATCAAAAACTACTGTTTCATAACAATATAATGAAGAAGTCCTATACATAGACCTATGCGTGTAGGTGAGCACAATGAAATACATTTGTTTGGGAATTTAGTCAGTTGAACAAACTGAGAACAATTCATAATAATATGGTAGCCTTGTTTCAAGTTTTAATGTATGTCTTCTGCAAGTTTGATAATATTTGCATCCAGATAATTCTTTATTGCAATTAAGTGGATAGGCCAATATTTTATGTCGCAGCAATGTCATGGAATGTGATTATGTACAAATACAACATTTGCTTCATAAAATTAAAAATATCTTCAGTGAAAATATAATCATTTGATTTCTTCATACATTTTGTGGTCATAGATAAATTGTGACCAAATATAGTAATAACAAGCCAACAGTGCGGCTGATGTCCCCCGCAAAAATGCCAAAATAAATAGATGACACATATTAATTAATAGCACATTTTTTTTTTTTTCAAAAGTATCCAGCAATCAAACTGATTATCAACTATACACTAAGTTTTATCACTCTATATCAGATGGAATTAAAGTTATCTTGTCCCAAAGCATCGACCAATGAAATTGCTTAGGTCTGCTTAGCTTTAGTTCGAAATGTTAATCATTGAACTCTGTCAAGACATTCACCTAATGAACATCTACACATGTACATCAAGTTTAAACATTCTACCTCAATTAAAAGCAGAGTTGTTATGTTCCAAAGTCTTGACCAATCAAATTGCTTATCGCTGTGCAGAAAATGCTCATTATCGAACTTAGTCAAGGTATTGATGTAATGAAACTATACACCAAATTTAATCACTCTCACTTAATTAGAACTAAAGTTATCGTGTCCCAAAGCATCAACCAATCAAATTACTTATCTCTGCTTACCCTAAGCAGAAAATGCTCATCTACAAACTCCATCAAGGTATTGACCCAATAAACACCTACACCAAGTTTGAACATTCTAGCTCAATTAGAAGGAGAGTTATTGTGTCCCAAAAAGTTTGACGGACAGACAGACGAACCCATTTTAATAGTCTCCTGCTTTCTTCGAAAGGCTGAGGACAACTAGTGATAAATCACTACCAAAGCTAATGAGATAATCTCTGGGGACTATCATATACTTATGGTTTCATAAATTAAAACAAGTTGAAACCAGTTTTATCCAACCAAGTAACAGCAGATTTACAAAAGCCAACAGATTTCTTATTTTCCAGTAATGGACATTGGGCCAGCTGAGCTACATCTTCAACAGAAGTCAAGAAGGCTTGATCTCGCTTTAACTCTGTACATCTTATCAAGCCCTTCACGTAATACCCTGCATAGTTCGTCACAAATTTTGATTGGGTACTGACACAGCTTAAGAGCCTATCAGATTCCCCAATCAACGCGAATACTAAGCCTGCAAGAACCGATAGGAAAGCAAACATGGATAGGATAAACCAGCAAGCGGCAGTTTTCATCAACCCTTCCTTAAAGTGTCAAATTTGACAATGAACCCCTCCCACGTGTACGGGGCTATTGCGTGTCGCTCATGCAGCTCAGTGGTTCTGTTGGGGCGATACATGTAAGTTCTTCATCTGTGAACATACTCTCAAAGCATGTCAAGTGTCCACATGTGACTATTTATCATATCACAACCTGCATACATGTAGGTATTTGCATTTCAATATCTCTACTTTATTGAAGAGTATATAATAATTTGAATAATAATCCAAACCCCATTAACTCAGTTCTTTATTGTTTGTTTGATAAAAATTTAAATTAAGAAAAAGATCCAATTGTCTTTTTCAGCATGAATTATATATCGACAGATGTTTCTATTGAAAGTACTGTAAGCTTATTTAATAATTACCGTAGCAAAACTGATTGGGTTATAAGCTGGGATAATTATGGAAGGACTAGTCAGTTTTAAATCTAACTGCCTTTACTAAAGGCTTGGGTTTGTGATGGATCATGTTTCCCTGCTACATTGTATTTTAAGATTTGTGATTTGGCAACTTTCAAGTTTTAATCAACGGATACAGTAGGCCTATTGTACCTTATGAAATCTACTAGAAGTAGAATTTATCTAGGACCTTTATTTTTTCAATCCTAATTTGATAATAATTTGAGTACCGGTACCTGTTTGCAGAAGGACTATCGGGAATATTACTGCAGACATTGTCATGCTTAATCCAATTACTGTTTACCTATTTTAAGACTGACCGCGATGATGTCATCCTGATATTCATTATAAATATTGATTTGTTGTTTTGGTTGATCTCTCAAGATTGAAAACATATCTGTCTGCCTACTGAAATAATGTGTACTGTAGCCTACTGTTAGGATGGCATAGGGATGTTATTGTTTACGCCTAATTTAAATCAAACCATTCTTTGTATAAAATACACATATTGTTATGACATTAAGACAGCATCATTAGGCCTAATGTTATAGTCAAACAAGCAAGTCAGTGTTGTTGACCGACTTTTGTAGGTCACATGTCAAAATACATTTGTTGATGTTTACGTAAATTACTGTTTCCGGGTATGTTGAATGTGTTCAAATCAAGGATTTTTAACTATAAATGCCATAATATTATATTACATAGACAATCCATTCTATGTCCAATCAAACGATTCTTCAAAACATAAATATGTTACGATAGGTCACATTACAATCCCCCCAGTAACATTCATTGGCATTGCATTCAAATCAACTTACCGCACGCGCTTGTCGACGGACACAGTAGCAAATGAAACTCCATATTTTCGCCGCTAAAACAAAAAATCCTCGCAAACCCATACCAATGTACTTAATCATTAGTGTGTATTGTATCAAGAACTGTTGTGCAAATTAAAATTAATCTATGCCACTCTGTACAATCTTTGTATAAATGCCTCAAGGCTGGCCAAATTTCCAAGATATTACATCTAGACCGCCATTGGCATCCCACAATTCCTATATCACTTGTGAACGGATGTGGTATATAAAGCGTGAATATTTAATAGCGTCTATAGTTACATGTACACGCGTGCTAACTGCTAAAGTAGAACAAAAAAAAATCATGATGTGGGTATTATTATATTCAGATATACATAATGTTTGAAAGGGGCGGGGCAGGGGTAAGCTGTGGGTACGTATTGCAGGCCAGATTCTTGCCGAGCGCAGGGAGTGGACAAAATGTTGGAACCTTGCGATTTTTCTGGTTAAAAAAAACCGACCAAGCTTAAGTGGACTAGATTTACAGTTTGTTACATGTTTGTGACTTTCTTATTTCCGTTTCATATGATTGCGTAATATTGTCCGTAGCATAGTTATGATTTCTTTTTCCGACAAAAGAAAGAAGTCACAGCGGAAACCAGCCAAATAAATTTATTTTAGCGCTTTTGCAATACCTTTTACTTTTTATGTAACACAGGACATGTTGATTTTATAACATTTGTTACAATATAGGCTATACTGGCAAATCAGAGTAGGCCTTGGCTAAATGCATATTTCTTGTTTCCGCGATTTCCTCACTGCTAAAGACCACAACGCACAAGTGAAATATTTTTAAAATGTAGGCCCTATCATAAAAATTATGCTAGCCTAATACGTGTATTATCTATACTAATATTTGTGACTATCGGTTTTCTGTCTGTTCAGGGTTGATCTGTCCCGAAGCTGGAATTTGGTGTATAGGGGTAGCTAGGGCCGAAGATATACTTATACTAATTTCAACCCGAGCAGTGATTTGCCCGGTGTTGGTCAAGAAAGTTCCCCGGGATTTTAAAGTTCCTCGGAATTTTTCAGCGTGGTTTCACATTCATTGAGTGTAGGACTGAGGGCTTGGAAAGGACAATGTCTAGTCGTTCGGATCGGACTAAAACCGAGGTCCCGCGTATACATTGGCGCGTCTGTAAAAGAACCCTTGACAATTGGAATTCAAAATAAGAGTATGGCAGTAGCGCCGCTTTCCAAGCAAAATTACCACCATAATAGCACACCGTGTACGCCCCTCTTCATTAGCTCAGTCGGTACAGAAAAAGAGGAGGTTAAACCCAATTTCATTTCAGTATATAAAAGCACAATTAAACTTCTTTGAGGATGTACAGTTTATGTTTATCTGTCTAAACGACCAGTCCATTGCAGAAGAGAAGGACCAAAAAGAAAACAGTTTTACATTAATTCCCAAACGACCGGCCTGTTATAAGAGACGCTGTTGGAGTCTCGTTGCTTATAAAGCTAAAAAAAAACAAAAAAACTACCGGGTATATGTTCCTATAGATTCCAGAATGGCGGAACAAGTGTAGTATTACGAGCATCCTATTACAGAAGGATAGATAAATGAAGAAAAAGGATATTGCAATGTTATACAGAATTGACAAAGTAATTGCACACAGTATTAATCCCGAAAGGCGTTACTTTTGCAGTGAAAACACCCGCCCCCCAAAAAAGTGGCAATTGCATAGGGCTGCACTACCTCTGTGTCCGCGTCTGGTACTGAATTATTTTTCTTTATTGGGCTAGGGATTTTGTCATTCTTTTGGTTTCGGTACACTGACAGCCCCCCCCCCCCGTCCCTCCGCCCACCCTGCCCCTACAATATGAATTGCGTGTAGATAATAAACGAAAGGTGACAATTAATTGATTGTTTCTTATATGAAACCAAAAACTTTGTGACTATGAAATTATTATATTTACAACAAGGCCGCCGAAAAAAGATAATACTATCTTCCTTTTTTTCGTGTGAGAAAACCTTGCAAATCTAGGCTATTTTAGACTAGTATATACTAGTGGTTGACATCTATATCACAGTCAGCCAGCTGTAAAATAAGTTATTGTACGTTCACGTTTCTTTGCTTACAAGGTATACAACAGGGCTTATTCACCACACCTTGTCTTTTCATTACATGTTTGAATAGTTTCGTCACTGACTAGAGAAGAATGACAGCAGAGAACTCTCTGTTTCTCTGGTCGGCCCACCTGTACACAATGTCGCTAGTTGGTTAAGTTTAAAACATTCCATCACATTTAAGGTAAAGGGAAATTTGACATTTAAAGTGTAGGATTTCCGTGAATATAGAGTGTGAAGAGGTGAGTATTGTTTGAATTTCTTTGCGTTGAGAAATAGCAGGCTTATTTTGTGAACGACTGCGACTTTTTATTGGCCTGCTTAGCCTTGTTGTTAGTTTTATATGGTTGGTAATGTATGTCCATGTTTATTAAACACAGACCAAAGTAATTCGTTAAAACTCTACACAACCGGACTTGCAACATTTTTGTGACGTGTATAATTCAAAAGATTACATCGAGAAATGAATGTCATTGTTTGTAAAGTTGACAGTGTTATTCAACATTAAAAGGACCCTTGTGGTATACTAAGATAATACTGTTACCCCCAACTTCTAATTTGTCCACACTTGGTGTACATCAATAGATTTGAGATCCACAGTGGTTCAGTGATAATGTCGCCTGCCTAAACGCATTAGTCCGCGAAATGACTAGGTTACTCTCTCTCTCTCTCTCTCTCTCTCTCTACCAACTTCACTAATTGGTCTGTCCATACATATTGAGTTTTATACAGGACTTAACAACAACTTAAAGATATCAGATATCGAGATTTGCTGTAATATATTCGTTGCATCCATGTATAATCTGGGAACATACATGCATGTGTCAGATTCTTTGTTCTAGAAATTCTAACATACGTAAATAATAAATAGGTATAGAAACCGTGTTTTATATGCCATCTTTAATGTTAGGTTATATCAAATTACACACACCATCCTACATCCTGTATTACACAGGTGCATCCATATGGCCTATATAATCTTCAAGCAAAAGTGCACACACGTGGAAATGGTACATGATGTAAATCTTTCTAAAGGTGAAAGGTAGATCGTCTCTTTATAACAGATAGCCTTGTTTTTATGTCATGGATAATGTATTGTATCATACATGAAGTTGGTAAACGGAATTAACTATAGTATTACGATTTTCCTGAGATATTGTGAAAGAAAATGTGAAATCGACCAAAACAACAATCCTAAAGGGCAGAAGTAGCTAAAATTAAATTGTTCTAAGTATTAAAATTTCGATTTCATTGTCTTTTATAAATCGATTTGCTTATACGTTCGAAATTTTAACACCCATATTATGTTGATATATAACTGAATCTATCTATCTATATATCTATATATATATTTGTGACTGTCGTTTGTCTGTCTGTCTGTCTGTCTGTCCGGGGTTGGCGGCTACACTAGGTCTGCCCCGAGTCTGAAATTTGGGGTATAGGGGTAGCTCGGACCGGGGAGTAACATAGGCCAGGTGGCGTTAGTCTACCACTTCCGGTTTCGGAGTTATGACCCCCGAGCGAAGCCGGTCTGTTCGGGGTTGGCGGCTATACTAGGTCTGCCCCGAGTCTGAAATTTGGGGTGTAGGGGTAGCTCGGACCGGGGAGTAACATAGACCAGGTGGCGTTAGTCTACCACTTCCGGTTTCGGAGTTATGACCCCCGAGCGAAGCCGGGTATCCTGCTAGTATTATATATATTTCTATGTATACACAGTAAGATGAAAGCGAAATTAGTGGGAAAAAATCGTACTCTGCTTAATCTCTCGAAACAAGTTTTAATCGTACAGAGCTTGGCACATCAGAAGCGGAAATAACCTATCAGATGAACCGAATTCAAGACTCTGTCTTCCAGTGTTATAGAAATTGTTGTTGAGACATTTATTCACTTGACAAATGTATAATCAACTCTCAATAAAATCGGGCGGCTTAGATATTACGTGGATTAGACAATGTCCGCCATGTCTGCGTTAAACGTCAATATAGCCACTGACTGCCTATTAAAGGCTTTAAAATCGAGACTAAGCTTATTATCATGACAATGGTAGCTGACAATCGAGGACATGAACTGTTGTCGGAGTTTCCATTTGCCAATTATGGCTATAGATTAACTTGTAATTTGACAGAAATTTTCAATACACGTATATTCATTTTCATTATCTATTTTTGAACTATTACAGCATGAACGGCCAGTCATTTCTCTAAATCCGGTATAATGTATCTTTAAACGAGAACAACAGAAAATTTCGAAGAAAAATACTCACAGTCTACCCAATCTTATTACTACAGTCCATGCACCGCACCACCATGGTAGGCTATTATTACTAAATAAACAGAAAAAAATCGCATAAAGTGACTCAATTTACAATTTATATATTTGAAGACCAAGGCCATGATTAGTCATTCATTGTTGACCTACATTTATGTTTAATTTACTATCTATATTATTAAGTTATGTGCATAGTTTGTGAAGGTATACACGTATGGTTGACCAGGGTAAACTGTTACCTAAATGATCACTTGACAGGTGAGACAACTGAGACAGGTATAACCAGATAATAATAATCGAATAGCCCCAGGTGATTATACGTATATCCTTCTACATAAATCATAATTGAATTTTTATTATTAATACATCATTTTATGGTTTCACATCGATTACAATGATTTTAATCTATGAGAAATATTCTTAGTTTTTTCATTCAAACGTGGATTTAATCAAAACTACTAACAAAAAATGAATCGAGTTCACGAGTCCATTAGCTACTCGAGTCAACGGAGTTGGCAATAAGTAGGTGTGACTGTTTAAAAAAGAGCATGAATTGAATATGCTTCCAGACTGATGGATGGATATATTTTTTTTTTGTTTTAGTTGACACATCCATTTAGCATCAACACGTATATCTCTGTTATATCCTAATATATTATTCAGGTACATGTCCATTATAAATAATACTTCAATCGATATACATGTACGTATATTATGACCATTATTGATTTGCTTGGTATAAAATATAGATTACCGACCACAAGGGCGGATCTAAAGGTTGAGAAAGGGGTGCTGTCTTCCTCTTAAAAAAATCAAGTGTCCTTTTTGTAAAGAAAGAGTGAAAAACCGAAACGTTTACTATCAATCCGTCAAGGACTATGACATTTTTTTGGTGCGTTTTTATTTTCTAACTGGGCTCAATCTTGATTTCTTCGACCCCCGCTCCAACAATCCGCGCGTGGACATTTACTGAGTTGTGTGGTATATAACATATTTCTCTAATAAGATTAATATCAATTTGTCCTGATTTTGAACCTATATATAAATTAATATATTTATTTATTCCTTTATAAATTGACCTCACAGCCCTGGCTCATGTTTATTGATCTATAATTAGTTTGGCCTATAGTTTATAGTTGATAATATCAAAGGGTTTATAACGCATGAATTAGAAATAATGAAATAAAGAATTAGTTATGTATTTTAATAAAAATGTTTTATTGCTAAAGCCGTGAACAATAAAATTGCCAATTATCAAATCCCCCATCCCCCAGTTTTCTCTATTTTATGGTGTTTTCTATAACCAGTGTTTGACAGTACGCGATGTAAAAGAAGGTTAGCCGGAAAGATAGCCTTCATTTAAAATGACACAGGTCTGCGACCCCCACTAAGGCCAAGATAATTTAAGAGTTTGTTTTGTTATTTAAACGTTACTCGTGTAGTACAGAACGGGGTAGCTTAGGATATACTATTGTGTTGCTATGTTACCAATATAAATACTCGTATATATCCTATCCATAAAAGAGGTATTATAACGTAATTCAATTTTTACATACAATAAACTTTGACTGCACAACCTAGTCTAATGAAACCGGGCATACGCCATGTGTGTTACGTCACGAGGGAAATTTTACCCGGACAGCGGCACTACGGCCTACTCTTATATCGAATTCCAACTGTCAGGGGTTATATTATTTGAACGCCAATGTGTACACGTCTCGCCTTTGTCCCATCCCAACAACTAGACAGCGGAAACCACCGGGAGCAAACCAGAGACCTCCTAGTTAGTGAGCCAACGCGTTAATCACTGAACCACCTCTGATGTAAATCACGTCAAATTATTTGGCGATGATAACCCTCGAGGCATCAATGTCTCTTTCACTGTTTTTGCATTCAACCTTTAGATTAGTATGATTAGGTTAGACAAGAGCTTGAGTGATAATGAAAGAGCTATGATTTAACATTACGTCAACACCATTTTGAAACTAGCACAATGAATCGTTGCTTTCATTTTCTGTGGTTAAAATATTCCACTATCAACGGTGTTTATACACGTGTTGGAATTGCAACTACCTCTGTACGTACACGGGATCTTGATATGACTTTTGTCCCACTTGCTCGGTCAGATACATGCATGAAAAATCAATAAGTTGAAGAAAGACAATGAAAAGACGCACACCTTTTTGATTTAGGTCAAAATACAGTGTTGAATTGTGTTGATCTAACCTGTTATTTGGTTTAATGGTGGAGTCAACCTCTGTTCGCAAAGGTTTTTCTTGTGGGGAAAGATAAAGCGGAAGTCGGTTTGTTTTTAATTTTTGTTTAAATATGGCTTACTGTGTCGACAGTAGAATACAAAACCAGTTTCATCTTGAGACGTAAAATATTCAACGAAGACAAAGTGTCCACCATTCACAAATCAAATCAACACAATCTAATGAAATCGACAATTTTTGTTGTTCATCCAAATCAAAGAGTTCAAGCCATTTAAATACGAACGCAAATTATAGTTCTGATGTCCTTCTAGATAGTTATTAAACAGATTCCCTGGAGTAAAACATGACGATGTAAATAGTATGTAATTAGAACAAGTATAGGGTCAATGGGATGGGTAATTTACATGATTTATTGATTAGTATAAAGATTTTACAGTGTGTTAGAAGAGAATTCAAAGATTCCAATTAACATAGTGGTTTTATAGTGGTAAACCATTAAACTGACTTTTTAACATTTTTGCACTAGAATTGTGGCAAGGGTTTGATAAAAAAAAAAGTGCATTTAACAAATCGATGGGGAATATTTAACGTCCGATCCCAACCACTAGTCAATCTGTATCAGTCCCGTGCGTTCTAACCCTGATACGTTGGAACGGGTTTGACAAATCCCGGGATTCATCTGGTTCCCACCATCTACGATAGTTGATCGTTATAGTGGAGTTAGTGCAGATAAGTAAGACGTTAAACCCCATTTCCTCTCATTTCATCGCAGTGGCTTCTAAATAAATTCGAAAACAATTTTGTTAAAATCCTATTATAATATTGGTATTTTGGTTTTATCATAATATGATATTGTGAATTTTTTTTTTTACGTAGCTTTTGAAGTGTAAGTAAGCCAGAAATATTAGGCCTACAAATTCGTCTAAAGTAGAAAAACATGTATTGTAAATTGTTTGGCCTACTTATTAGATCTTGTGGAGGCCCCTAAGTTAATAATGTTGACATTTTCAACTAGTTGAGGATAAGGCTATAGGTATAACACGAGAACATATATGTATGTAGTAGACACCTGTCAGGTAATTGTCCAGGTATTTAAGGTAAATACATACTATACTTATTATATTCTCAATTATTCTATATATTCAAATAATGTTTTTATACCTTTAAATATGTATTACACATGTAATTGGATATACTTTGTATATTCATTTTATTTGTAAGGTGGCATCTGTTTCTGTGTTTATGTGAAAACTACATTTAGGCCGATCTTTCAATTACCTATATGTTATATATTTTCTTATCGGTATGATATTTCTTAGTATATATGTTTACATACAACCAAGAATACATAATAATAGAATATATATCGACAGTGGTTGGGCTTTGAGTAACAAATACAATGACCTTTTAGGGGCAAAGTGAGCTACAAAGACACAGTAATGAAAAGCTAAAATACGTGTTCATATTAAGAGACCATTTCAAGTACATGAACCGTCATTCTGTTATTATTATATTGGTAGTGTATTCTGTACCCTTTTTGTCGTCTCTTGAATAATGTTGGCTTACATATTTCTCTTCTCGCGGAAAATGTTAAAATGCTATTTAAAGCCAAAATTGATCGCTGGTATTAGTCTGTCCAAAGTCTACAGTTTTATTATTTATTTGAGTATAGGGGATGGTGGAATTCAGGGCTGGATTAAACTTTCATAGGGCCCTTGGCTGAAAGGGTTATTATATAAGGGTCCTTGCCTCAACAGTGAAGAAAGGGTGGCATTATTGTGGTTGTTGTTTTGCCGTATAGCTTCAAAAAATTTAGTCTCCCCTTGTTAGACTCAACCGTAACACATGGCATTTATAATGGTGTAAATTATTTTAGAACTCATTTCTTGACCCCTTTAAGATTTCGGCCCCTGACTGAAGCCCAGTTGGCCTCCACTTTAATCCGGCCCTGGTGTAAACACCTACAAAGTGGGATACGACGTAATTTCCTGGGGCCTGTTTCACGAAATTTTTAACTAAGATAAAATCCAAATTTTAGTTATTTGATAGGATAATATTAGATTGATTTTAGTGCTTAGACAATCAAACTTGAAGTATCTACAAAAATTTAGATTTTAAGATTTCGAGAAACAGGGTCCTGGTATCAGAGACTGGCGTTATCTTCGTTTGATTAGATTTCGTTTTGTATACCTTTGCTTTTCAACTACTCATTTATCAAACCAAATGAACTATAAGGAATAGCTTTCTTAAAATTAATAAAATGTAAGTTCTATTTGATGTTTCTGAAATTTGGTACGTCATTTCTGAGTAAATTTATTGGAAACAAATCTAATAAATTGTACTTTAAATATAGGTTTGACAATAGAGTGGAAAATTATTGTCAATATTTATTACCCATGTATAAATTTATAGCACACTATAGAATGGCTGAGAGCAGTTATATTTTGTATATCGAAGACTGTAATACCTATAAAGAAGAAGAAAATTTAATATAACAGTTAAGAAGAATATATTTTTTGCAGGCTATAGATTTGTGTTATATATTTTATGGTATATATTTTATACCATAAAAAACCTTGAGATATATATGTATATATATATATATTCATAATATCTATACATCAACACTAGGCTATACATAAGGTATATATGTGACTCATAAAACTATACATAGTACCTACTGTCATATAAACTTTATACAGTTGCACATAATGTCTTCACAGTACTATAATCATTGTATTTACACGTGAAATAATTGCATATACAGTCGGCGAGTGCAAGTCTAACTATTTTTTAGCGATAGGTGATTAAATTTTTGAGCTAGGTCTACCCTTCATAAAGTCAGCAATACATTGTATTTCTAGACACAATAATACTACAAACCAAATTTTAAAAATTGAAAAAATAATTTTTAGCTGACTTGACATTCTTGTGAATTTGGCATTTTCACAATATAGTGTTCTGTTATATATTGGATTTAAAACAGCTAAATCGTAAATATTTGGGACCTACAAATTGACACAAATGGGTCGCAACGCATATAATAAAGTAATATGAATGAATATAAACTGATTTACATTCAATCGTTTCTGTTTTTACTGTAATTTCTAATCAGTTATGTTCGGCGAAATACGCCAGAAGTCTCAATCGAATTACAATCTCTAGTGTCTGGTTATTCCAGTCAACACCGATAGTATTTATTGCAAATGCTCTCCAGATAAAAATTTGTCGACACCGTTTGACATGACTTGTGGAATATGTCTAGCCTCGTTCTTCGAGTCCCTTGTTACAAATGGCACTGAAACGCATTTTGGTACACGATTCGTGTACCAATGGTAAAATGTTTATTTTGTCTTATATATTGTATATCATAAGCCCATCTTTTCCCGGTAAGATCATAACATAAATGTTGATTTAATTTGACAAATAAATCGTGTTTTCAATGTCGAAGACTTTGGATGATATTGAGTTAAAGACATAGCCACTGTAAGCTAAGTTACCTTCATGTATTTACTATTAGTAAGTTTAGGGCATAATTTGACATTGGGGCAATAACAAAAGAGGAAATGAATCGGAAAATTAACCTCCCTAACATATATTTGAAAGATAACCAGTATATTTTGACCAGCGGCGTATGATACCCTCGGGAAATAGACCCTTTTCTTGATAGTTATTATTCATCAATACTCTTGTAAATTTAGTTTATTGTTTCGAGCTCGTGAAATATCGTGTGAACAACTGAAGTTGGACTTGTTATTATGGAAATGGACCCCATATTAATTTTGCTTAGCATAAAAGGAATACATTATGTAATGTTTGTTTACCTTTTTGGGTTAGTCTGTTAGCTTAACATTAATGTAATGCTTTACTATTATCGGCATGGAAATAAATGTAATTAATTTGATATGTCGCATTCAAAATAACTTTACACTCCCCCTTATTATCAGAGGACTAATCTCCCTATAGTAAAGTATTTTTCACGAACGTTCATTAAAACGTGTATATATCGGGAATGGATTGACATATTTGTCTCAACTTCTGAATATAATCGATTTGGAGCATCCCCGTTGTAACCGTGTTGTCGAATCGGCGAATCTTAGTAGGGTTTATTTTAGCGGACACATTCTTGTGAAAACGTTAAGTCAATATTTGTAAAGATATATTTACTTGGCTGAAAGAAACTACATATTTACTAGTTAGACCAGGTAAATTAACTGTGTGTGTGTATGTATATAGGTTTATATATATCAACTTATAAGTACAGGTAACTTACCTTTAATTAACGAGACAAAAATAAATAACAGAACGTGACAAACTCGAGTTAAATGAATTACAGGAAAATATCTACATTTTTTAATAGGAAGTCTGTTGTTGATTTTGTTGTGGTTTCCTTTTTCAGTGATTTCTACAAGTCACATAACTTAAATTTTTACAACTTGCAATGGGTTTTTTTTTAGTCTGCATAATGTGCAAATCACCTTCACAAATATCAATGTAACGAATTCGTATTAAGCTTAAAGGAGCTAATCCTAGTTAATTTAAGTCAAACTAAAGTGTTGAAATTAGGGTTGATCTGATGTGTCATTTCGATTAATGGACGGGACAAGTCCTATACAATTAATAAGATAATATACAGAGCTATATTTAGAATATACGTGGATTTACTGGTCACCAGTGTTCTCAGGTCATTCTGAGACGACTAACAAGCTCATCGTATATAGTTATATACATATTTAATGTATCAACACATTTCTATTAATAAATAAACCTTTGGCTTTTTGTTTTTGTTTAAAATCATTATTCGTTTTATTCTATTCTGTATCTCAATGGATGGCTTGATTAAGGAACCACCAAACGTAAATCTATTGTTATGCTTAAGCAAATATTTAAGACCGTCGTTAGATTTAGGATATCCAGGTTTTTAATATTTACATATCCTCAAATTAATATCTGCAATCCTTATATAAGATGATATAATATGGAGTAATTCGTCCATCATATATGTAAACATCTCCCTTAGAAGTGTAATCTTCTTAAAATCATAAATAGATAAATAATATGTTTAAAGTTAAGGTAGATTTTCACAAAGTATTTTTTCTTTAGAGGTAATAAACAGATACAATATGACCTAAATGTGTGGCTTATTGGTTGTGATAAATAGCCTTTAATTGCTTTACGGGTGAGTGCGTGATATTATGATTTGGTATAATCTCAGGTTCCCAATCTATACATGTAATCGCACATGTAACTTGTTATACGTAAAGTTACATAACACGACTTAAATGACTAGTCTTACTCGATACTCTATAAACTTCATTGATAATTTGTCTAAATAGATCTGTATTTGAAGTGCCTGAAGAGACAGGTAGGGTAAATTCTTTTCAGGGAGAGAGAGAGAAATGGGGTTTAACGTCCACTCAACACAAACTAGGTCATTTCGGGACTAACATATGATTCAATTTTATTTCAATGATTTGCTTGTGCGTATAGGGATCTTTAGCAGTGGGAGGAAACAGGGGGACCCGGAGAAAACCCACGAGGTTGGACAGGCGACCCTACTCCTTGTGACGTACAACCGGGAATCGATATCCCGCCAGTTGACTCAATGACAGACCTTATGATACAAAACGCGCGCTAACCATTCGCCCCACCCCCTCCAGTTCTTTTTTAGGCTTGATCAAATATTTCCATAAATTCATTTGGAGCATGTTATTTCATTTTTTAAAAACTTATTTCCAGTTTTTCGATCAGAAATGATCGAGGTCTAAATTCAAATGGCTTCCTTGGGGTTCAGAAAATATATTGAGGTGTACATATATCCATAATCTAGACTGAAACATTATCACTTATGTAGACGGGTTTAAATCAATCAGTTAGTCTAGCGAAATTGAAGTCGTTTCTGCTTACTCTTCCGAGTCTTGTCACGTGTCAGACGGCCGGTGTTTTCTCTTGGGTTGACGTAGCTAACCGCTTGAGTTTGGGTTTACAGTGTTACACTGTTTGTTCTGTGTTTTGCTGCATCGTCTTTTAAATAATTATGTCTCATTATAGATCTACTGTGTACTGTGATCGTTAACATCTTGACAATTCTTTAAAAATGATTTAATTCACATTTGTTTATTTTGCAGTCTTTATAATGGGTCATATCCACATGTCGTTTGAATATCATGTACATAAAAGTATGTTAAAGATAAAAATATGGCAACTTAGTGACTTGTTATTACCACCACGTAAGTACTTCTTTGATTAATACGCATTTATAACTAGAATGTCCGCAAGTCTTTAACGGTCTTAACTCGACAAAAATTATAGTTCTAATATTCGTGGATATAAGCAATGTAAAAAAATCAGATGATGGTAACTTGAGGCCATAGAGCATTCACAAGATATTTCAAAGTAATTAAGGGACATCACTTTTGAAATAATTATTGGATATCACGGGAAATTCAATAGGATTCCTGGTTTCATGAAAATAGACATGGTGCATAACTTTAGCCTGAAATCAAATTCATTCATGTGTGTACAAGCCTTGCACATATAAGCGATCTCTGATGTAATCTGGCCTTTCATGATTTCTCTTTTTCATTATTTCAGCACAGATATCTATGATACAGTCCGTGTATGTACGGAGTTACCTCATTCCACCAGCAGCCAAGAAAACATTTGTGCGAACCGAGGAGGTTCGTGTGGAAAATCTAGAAGCTCACGTTAATGTTAAACCTCGGGAACAGAAACCACTTACCGGAATACAACACATCTTCACCCCTTCAAACTTTAAGTTTCTTACCCCCATGGAATATAATGGTGTAACCCAGGATGTGATTCGCGACCGAAGTATTCAGATTGAAGTGTGCATGATTCAGAAAACAACTCGTAAAAGTTTTCTTATTGGAATGGTAAACATACCCCTGAATAAAGCAGTGAAAAAAGTAGTTCGTGAAAAAATACCTCTTATACCTTGTCTGAATTACACAACTCCTAACAATATGCGTGTTTACAGCGCAGCGGGGCTTGAACTCGAACGTAATGGCGAATCTTTCGATTGCTCTCCGTTGCTACGTCAACTATCTGGTAATGGTGTTAGTGGTGTTATAGTGCCCGATGAAAATTTAATCAAACCCGTGTATATTAATAATATCCGTCATAAAAATCATAACAATAATGATATTTGTCCCCCAGGGGTTAAAGTTCATGACATTGACCGGGAGGATGAAATAGCAGTTGATATTGCAGAACGGGTGGCGCCATCTCCTCCATTGCCTCTAACAGGAAGTGGGTTAGAAACCGCAAATCTTGGAGACAAAAAACTCATTAAGGTCAACTTGAATGACCTAGAAATTAATGACGTCATTGCGTCCGCTAATCAATTAAAAGTGCCGCATATTAAAGAACCCAAGAAACCAGCCATCGTTTACAAACCTGACACAGCGAAACAAAATGGCAGCAAGTCTCCGGAAATAAACACAAGAAAGAAACTATCCGTGCCTGTTGATTTGGAAATTGATGATAATAGTGATATGGAAATTGACAGCGAGTTACCGGACCTGAATGTGACATCTCCTGCTGCCTCAAGACCAGAAACGCCGGTTTGGGATTATTATGACTTTGAATACGAGGCAGGAACAAAGCCAAAGGCTAAAAACTCCACGAGTTCCAAAAAATCCACTTCTTCAGTCAGTTCCTGATAGAAATTGAGCATAACATGATAATCTCATTGTTGAAAAAAACAGAACTGGCAGTTGGATGTCAAATCATTTAGGGATCTACTTGTACAAGATGTTTTAATCGTTTATTTCATCAATGATTCGTGAATTTAACGTCTTTAACACGCAGCATAGTTCCAGCATTTGAAGACTTTGCCATATTATGTTCGGTGCCAACATGAGGAAACGCCATAACCGATAAATTCCTGCTGATAATTTGGGCCTTATTTACGGACCTCATGGTATATCCCACTGTGTGTGTTAATAGAGGGTTTATGTCTATCACCAGATAAAGCAATTACAAGTTTGGGGAAACTTGAAATTTAATTAATATGGAGCTATATACGATAATAACTTTTATACAGAACGATTGCCATGATTATATTTTTATACGTTTACCTTGAAGAATATATTATAACCTGTGATAATCTTTATGTAGAAACAAAAATATTTATAGGTGTCAATGTTTTATAGCAATTAATATATATACAATAACAAAGAACATAATATATGTTTACATTAATCTTTAAGTGGCATTTAGTGATTGGGGTACACAATAACAGAACACAATTTTTTGGTGATTGTTTCCCATAAAAATTGTGTTCTGTTATGTTTACATTAATTGATAGAATGTCCAGTGAACAATAAAGGAGGGCTTGTCGGACTCCTTTAAACTTTCAGCCACGGGAAATTCACCAAAATACGATAGGACGCTTCCTTCTGCCTCATTGAACATTCCCGCCAAGTTTTAAAAAACTCCATCAAGGACTCAATCTTGTCGTGTATACAATTTTTAAAGTAAATAGGGGGATAACTCCACGATTTGTGATTAAAACATCTTAATTTTAATTATTTTTCCAAATGCTCTATCAACATTCACAGCAAGTTTTATTATTTAAAAATTCATCATTGAATTTATCTCGTTTTTTTCCATATGCCCCAATGATCAACATTTGAAAATCACACAAGATCTCTCTAGTTCTGTGTGGTATTCGCAAAACTGTGCAAGTTTGAAGTAAATAGGAAGGTAACGTCTGTGATCAAACAATATTAATGGTCCAATGAACAATCCTTTTAAGTATGAACAAATTATGCCCAGAAATGTGACCTGAATTTTAATCCTTAAAGGAGCTAAACCTTCAACTCAATAGTATCCATAATATTGGAAATTAAAAACACGAAATAGAATTCAATATTGACCTGTTTCAATCAATATTAAAGCGAGAATTTCATGTTTAAAATATTCTAAAATAAAGCATTGAAATTCATGGCATGACATTCATGGCATCTATACACACAGTCCTGCCTTGTTAAGGGATAATTCTAAATCCTATAATTCACTTGTGTCAGTTGAGAAATTGACAAATATATTATTTTCCTTTTAAATCCAACGTTGACTTTTACGGTGTTATTATCACGTGTGCAGGTTTCAAAAGTCTCGCTCAACCAAGCATCACTATCATTATCTGTTTAACCACGGAATTTGACAATCGAGTCAGCCCTTCATTGTGTAGACTTAGTTATCCAGTGAAAAGAAATGATACAAATTCCAAATACCGTCGGCGAGTAGAAATTATTTCCCAATTTTTACGTGAATATTTTTTAAGTGATAGAATGATTACTATTATTGTATAGTAGTGATTTGACATCCTATTAAGTATAGATATAGAAATAATTATGTTTTGACTTTCTTAGAAAATATGCAATTTTTGCCTTAATGTTATTATCTTACGATGAAATAATATGTGATTCTATTGTCCAATATTTAAGAGACAATGAACATTTTTAAATCACTACGGGTATTCTACGGGCATAATGGTTTTGAGCGCCATTTGTAATGGTCACAGAAAAAACATATCCCAGAAGATAATGCCGATGTAATTAAAATTTTCTGATTCACAAACGACAAAAAAATTGTCTGTTCGTGTATTTCACCGAACATAATTGATTAGAAATTAAACTATTACATTAAAGTTGCTAACTCAATATTAATTATCATCCAGTCTTTGACAGTGCAAACACGACTTATTGGTCAGTTTAAATCAACAACGATGTTGTTATCTTAACGTGAAGCGATGGGCTTCTGATATCCAATATTTAAGACAAAATGAAATATTAAAAATTGGCACAAGAATCGCGTACCAGAATGCTTTCGAGTGTCTTTGTAATGAAGCTACTCGATGAACGAGGCTAAACATACCTCACTGGAGAATACTACCGGCGTGGACTGGAATAACCAGACGCCAAAGGTATTTCGCCATACATAACTGATTCGAAATTACAGTAAAAATAGAAACGATTGAAGGTAAATCAGTTCATATACATTCACAATACATTATTTCTCGATGCCAAAGAATAGCGATTTAGCTCCTTTAATTTGTGCTTTTAGGGCCATTTTTGTCTATTTTAAGGTTCCTAAGAGCTATTTGCCCGCTAACGATTGCTCGTTCGTATATTTGACATTTTAGGTATATAGTGTCGATAATTTTTCTAAATATTTTATATTTTAATAAGGCACAACAACATTACCAAAGTAGGAACGGAGTGCAATGTCCAAAAACTCATACTGGTTCATAGAAGAATTAGATGGTTCATAAAGAACTGGGTTTATTTTCATCTTTAACTTTAAGTTTATCCCATTCATTAACGCCATTACAGCGCGACTTTTCATTGGGACACTTGTCAATATTTACAATCGGAAACATTCGACCATTTTTCCAAACGGCCACAGGAACGAATCTCTTTTTAATGTTTCTAACCTGTCCTTGACAGTCTTCTAGAGTCATGTCACAATCCACCATTTTCAAAACAGTGATATCGGCTTCTCGCCCAACTTCCAAAGAACCGAGAGTCTTGGCCCGTCCTATGACGTTTGCTGGGGTTGAAGTTACGGCCGATATAATTTTAGATAATGGCATACCAAGATGTAAAAATCGACTCATAACCAAAGATAAATCGTATACTGGACCGTGGATATTCCCGGAGTGCATGTCTGTACTTATAGTATCCGGCCAGAAATTTTCTTTGGCAGCAATTTCAGCAGCTGTCCACGAAAACGACCCCTGCCCATGTCCCACATCAAATATAACTCCACGTCTTTGAGCATCGTGAATGGCTGGTAGAACTGTCTTGGTGACCGAGTCTATAATAGTGCTGGCATAGCCATGGAATGTATGTGTATAGACATCACCGGCATCTAAATTACCTGGACAACTAAGTCCGTTTCTACCTGTAAATAACATATAAACATTATTATCTGAAGAACTCAAAAATTAAAGATTAAAGTAGCTAAACATCTTTGATTTGGGGGACAATGAAGAGTAGAATTGTAGTGATATAAAAATACATTGTGTTATTTCCATTGGCATTAGTGATGGAACAAGCTCTATAATAATTACATTTCTGTTTCTTTAGCTTACCTTACACAATATCATATGGATCAATGGCTTTATCAACGACGTAAAATTTTAAACGAAGACGGATTGTTATCCCACAATCGGATGATAACTTTGGTCTCCAGAGTGTCAACAGGATTTTTAAAAGTGGTCAAGGACTATAACAATAAATAGGATTTTCTTACGATTAAAATGTTTTGAGAGGTATTTGAAGCAACCGTTTGATAGATAAATTAGTTTGAATGTGTTTTAAGTCCAAATATATCATCAAATCACACAGTTTGTACACGGCAAGACATATTTAAAGCGGTATGTTCAATTTAATTGTGGTTATGTCCCCTTGATCGCACATCGACATCGATTATGACCTGGCCATCGTTATTTTGAGTTGTGCATCAGCCGGTTATTTAGCTTCTTACAATATAGCTTCACCATAACACATTACAAATACCCTATAGTTTAACACATCCTGAACCGAGATTGCTGTTTCTAGATGACTATAATTCAAATCGGAAATGTTCAAATCTTGACAGTGAGTAATACTATAAGTACAACTTACCCTCTAAATCTTGTACTGGTATTGTACTCGTTATATGATGAACCATTAAGGGTACGTTACATTTTCTAGCAGCAGTCAAGGCTCTCCTGACAACAGAACAATATATGATGTAATGTTTAAACAAACGGTTGTCATGCAAGATATGCCCACATTTTGCAAGAGATGGGTAGAGAACAAGCTAAAAAGGGAAGCGAATTTTCGTACAATCAGGGGTCATAATCCAGTATCGAAAGGAACCAAGATATTTAGGATATAAACATGTATTTTAACTTGTGACTTCTAGATGGTCCACAATCTTGGTATTGCATACTTTTACACTTTTTGCGTTTACACTGTCGGGCAGTTTTGGTTCGATTAACACTAAATTCGAACTCAACTGTCATCATGGTGTAACAGTGATATTTGAACGTTTTTCTTTTCTTTTCTTTTTTAAATCTGATAAACAACGTTAGCTCTATGGGGTCCAGAAGCTAAAAACGCGGCCATAATCCAAGAAGTCTGATATATATCTTTGAGATATATTTAACAAATAATTTAAAAATCGGATAAAAATTGTTATAACCAATCTGATTAAAATACAGATCTATACTTCGTTTCGTTTTTTTTATACTTTCAATGGCTTACACTACGATCTGACCGGTTGTGGCTATAGGTCGCATCAGAGGTCATACGAGCGACTTTTGACCCTATGATGTCAGCCATTTGACTAACCAATCAACATTGATGTTACTAGTGGATTGATTACCCACGGTTCCGTGCAAAACAAGCCTAAAGCTCGCCGTAACAGACTGTTTCATTGGCTAATCCCTCATATCATTCAGAACACGTCAATGATAACAACTCTTTCAGATCCTAGTGTAGTAAAGACAAGTAAAACGAAATTTTGAACTATAAAAACGAAACGAAATAGGGTCTGTGTTTTAATCAGATTGTGTTATTACATATTTTTACTCTATTTGTGTACGTGGAGCGACCATTTTATCTGACAATTTCGGTCTGATTTTCACGAAATTCAAACTCAACCATCGTTATGGTGTAACGGTGGTATATTTAAACGTATTGTAAAATAGGATAAAAAAATTGTGACCTCTAGAGGATCCACAAGTTAAAAAACGCGATTTTTCGTACAATCAGGGGCAATAATTCAGGAAGGTACGGTCCAATTACATGCGCGAATATCGAAAGGAACCGAGATCTTTTGGTTATAAACATAGATACAAGTTTCACAAAATCGTATACAATTGTAACCTCTAGAGTGTCCACAAGCTACAAACATGATTTTTCGTACAATCAGGGGCCATAATCCATGAAGTTGGGGTCTGATACATGCCAATATCGAAAGGAACCGAGATCTTTAGGATATAAACCTATATTTCAAGTTTTGTCAAAATCGGATTAGAGCGTCCACAAATTGTGGACGGGCAGACCTCCGGACGGACAGGGGCGACGACAATATACGTCCAAATGACAATGTGGGCGTATAAAAATAACAGAAGGGTAGGGTTTTTTTTCATTTTTATAGGAGTAATAATTTCTCTAGAATACATATGATACCATTTGACGAGGTTTCATATGTAAAATCATGTTGTACTTGGTGACTAGGTTGGTGATCTGCCCAGACGACCAACCCGTTTTCATTATTCCGGTTGGTGAAGAAAAGTGGGACGTTAAACCCCATTAAAGCCCGGGTATATTTTGGGCCATGTTCGTGGTGTCATACGATGTAAAAGAATTCAGCGTCTAAACCACGTCACTTTCGTCTTTGATTTCTAATAACCAGTGCCGGTTTTAGATGAAGAGAGGTCCTAGGCTATTTTAGTCATGGGGCCCCTCCCAGTCCATGATCCTTACGAACAGGGGAAAATGAAAGTATGTTTTAAATACAACTGAGCAAAGTCGAGGGTGATGACGGGTGTTTAAGACCACAATACGCGTATGAAAGGCTTATTTATGACGTGTCAAAAAAGTTATACACATTGGCTGGTGGCCCCCTAGATTCTGAGCCGGCAGACACTGTGGCTTGGATAAGAAACCTCATCTCTCAACCCTCCGTGTTTCGAGTAAAGAGATGGTGCTATATAGTTCCATCTGGCAAAACCCAACGAGGAAACATTGGGCTTCAGTAAGGAAAATTGACAATATTTTTCATCAAAACAACAATTGTTTATTGTTATTCAAAACATTTCTGCCATATTCAACTACAATTAAACATATAATCCTACCTGACACCGGTACAAATCGTGTCTTTTTAAATCGAAGTGATAAGAGCGTGGGTCTCCGGCATTTTAAATTTGACATCTTTGACGTCATGAAGGTGGGGCACCGTGTACAACAACTAATCAAAGTACTAACCTGATATGAGTTGCGCAGGAATAATACACCGTAATTATGAATGTCCGTATCAGTTTTGATAAAAACAACACTTGATATAATTTATTGACAATATTTGCAGATAAACTCAAGTTGTTTGACTAGAGTGGGGAAATGAAATGGGCTTTAACGTCCTGCTGTTCTGCACCGAACTGGGCTAATGAAGACGGGCATACGTCATACAGTGTGCTATGAGGGAAATTTTGCCCGGACAGCGGCACTATGACCTACTCTTATATCGAATTCCAACTGCCAAGGGATCTTTTACGTGCACACCAATGTGTACACGGGACCTCGGTTTTTCATACCATCAGAACGACTAGACAGCTGTCCTTGTCAAGCCCTCCGTCCTGCATCACTGTCAAGGGGAACCACGCCGGAAAATCGGGATGAACTTTCTCGGCCGTGTGGATGTTTAATAAGTGCTAATAGTATAAAATTAACTTATTTTCAAGATGTTACATGCATTAATAATGAAATTAAGTATACCAGGTGAAACTAAAGGCTCCCAACCGTAGCTAAAAACAAGCACATCAGTATCTCAACGTTTTAGCTACTTTCTCGAAGCTAAGGGTGGCTCAGTGAGTAAGATGTTGGCTTGCTATCCTAGGGGTCCCATGTTGTGTCACGGTGTTGGCCGAGAAAGTTCATCGGTAATTTTTCGGCGTGGTTCCCCGTTGTCAGTGATGCAGGTCGCAGGCCCTGGCAAGGGACCATGTATAGTCGTTCGGGTGGGGCAAACAATCGAGATCCCGTGTACACATTGGTGTGCACGTAAAAGGTCCCTCGGCAGTCGAGATATTATTATAAGACTAGACCGTAGCGCCGTTGTCCGGGCAAAATGCCATTCATAGTACACTGTAGGCTAATGCCCGTCTTCATTGGCCCAGTCGGATCAGAACTATAAGACGTTAAACCCCATTTCATTTCAGAACTTGAGGCAAAGAAAAGAGGTGTACTTTAGTATCAAACATTAGCTGGGTGAAGTCATGTCATTTTAATACTGTTTATGGGAGACAACTCTTTCATACCTGTAAACTTCTTCTTCATGCTTTCCGTTATCAGCGACATCAGCACTGAGTCGAACTTTGACCCCCACTACTGCATCTTGGTTGGCGGCGATGGTGGTTGTGCAGGCGTTAACATCGACCTGGTTAAGATGGTCGCATTCGCCACCAGCTCCTGAAAGGAGTACAAGAATTGGACACGTTTAGTTTTGTGATTAATTTATTTTCAATTTCACATCAATCAGTGGTCTGCTGCCATGTTAAGTGATTAAGTATTGGAATTTAGGTTGGCTTAGTTCACGGTGATTTCACATTACACTCTCGACATTTCAACTCGAAAACATGGCGGCTTATCAACAACTTGAACAAGATGGCGACGCTTTGGGTTGTTGGCTGTGTACAGCAGACATGTTCAACCTTGGCTTTGAATTTTTGTGACCTGTACATATATAACAATAATACCCTGTCGACTAGAATAAATCAACATGCTATGATTTGAAAGTCAATATACTTTGGCTACGTGTGCACGGTTTATTTACAAATGGCTACATTATCAGTTCGCTGGGTCAAAGTTTATCAAAAAAAGCAACCTTTAACTACCAGAATGTAATGGAGAATTTATAAATTGTAAAACTCATAGTGAGTCATAGGCAACATCTATTATGTGTAAGAGAAACTTGTTTAAATTATTAGGTTAGCTCTGATAGCAACATAATCAAACCAGTTTTTACTTTGTGTTATTACAATTTAATTTATAATATATATGTTCGGTCATTGGATATTAGAGTTCAATTTCTCAAATTACGAATATGGGATAATCAATTATAATACAGAACTCATCATTTGTTAGGATTAGGATAAGTCAAGCTTAGAGCCAAATGCCAATATATATTCTTGATAATAAAATGCTACAGACTGAGAAAGGCCAACACGGCCAATAATCGTTTTCCTTAAACATGCACCATGCAAGAGCTAAATCTGCCTATTGCAGGTCTTTTTTAGGCCTGAAATGTTATATAAACTATTTATTAGACATGTATTAACAAAACAAGACTATAATCGACACTCGATGGCATCGGATACTCGAGATTTTAACTAGATTAAAACGGTTCGCCATTTAAAATTTTAATTTAAAAATGGGAAAGCGAGGCTTAGTCCCGATTATAACCGTGCCCTGGTTACCACTGTGCACACATCTTGTCAAAACTACAAACAATGATAACTTGGCTGAGAACGAAGTAATTTGAATGAAATTTTCAATATTTTATTTTTTTATCATCTATTTTTGAATTATTATAGCAAGAATAACCAACTCTTTATTAAACTCTTAACTAATGTATCTTTAATTATATAAATTTAACAAAAAGTAATGGTTTAAAGTGTGCTTTAGATTATAATCTAGACAATGAAAGCAAAAACATAGATTAGATGCCATTTGTGTCTCAATGTTCGAGGAGAGAAATACATTATTATCGTGTCCGTTTATAACTGTCTAAGAAAGAAAAAGATGGAGGCATTAAATCAATAGAACATAATAATGGGAACTTTATCTGGCCATAATATTCGTTAACATTGATGGATTTGAATATTTATTAAGATCAATATGATAAAGCATCGGCTAACGGTTTAAGAGAAACAGTAGGCAGTAATGAGAACTTTAGATGGCCATAACATTCGTTAGAGTTGATAGATTTGAATAATTTGCGGGCAATATGTTCTTTGGTAGAGAAAGACAGATGACGGCTGTTATACGCTGTACTGATGGAGATAGACATCCATAGGGATTTTATTGTCATCAACAAGAAGTTTTCTTTGAGCATAAATTAACTGTACAGAACAAAAACAAGGTTGAACTTAGTTAAGTACTCGGTCAAAGGGTGAAGGATTGGTCAAGATTTGGGCGATTGTTATGCCGAAACCAATGAAACTGTTATACATGCAACGTTTAAAATGATATGTAGGGGTCAGTGCATTTGAAATCTAAAAAAACAATAAGACCCTCGCTAAACAATTCGGCGTGTAAGTACACTTGTAAAACGAATAACAAACCTATTATTTGGGCCCATAGCATGGCTTATCTGTATGCATCGGCAATATTTTACTAACGGTATGATGCTTTACACGTGTCTACCACTTGAATAAACATTCATGTACTAGCTTTTATAGCATGGAGGGAAGTTCAAAAATATCCACTGAGTGCAAAATGTCTGCAAAGTCAGACAATCACGAATATTTGGAGAGTTTTATGGCTGGTTGATACAGTTGGAATTGCACAATTTTAGGTTTAAACGCCTACTGATCTAAGGTTTAACAAACAAAACTTTTGCTAGACGAAATACATATGACAAATAAGGAAATTATTTAGACAACACCTACCATGAAAAATTCCAGTTTCGGCATTTAAAATTGGAAAGTACATTTAAACGTATTGAATAAGAAAGTATTTTATTGTGTTTGGGCGTTATAGTGGTGGGTAAGTAGTCAAAGCAGAGTGCAGTATGCTTGTCACAAATGCGCTTGTGGGTTTCAACCCCATGATTGTAAATGTCAGTTGTCCAAACTACCATAGGCCTTGACCGATTTAGGTTAAGTAGACGTTACACCCACTTTCCACCGTATACCCACGTTCTGTATTAGACGTATTCGTTGCGTGCTAGTGCAAATTGGAAACAGATTTATAGGATTTTGTGACATTGATAAAGTGATATAATATGAAATATGTACAATAATTTCGGTTAGCTTTTCGCTTGTTTTGCTTATATCTGGACAACCAGGGGTGCTTAGTATTTGGCAAAGGCGTCAATCGAATTCAAAACAAAACAGACTACTGATAAGAAAGTACTTAGATCACATAAATTAATCGGAAGAATGGGGCGGGGGGGGGATCTAAGGGAGTAGTGGGAGGATTAGTGAAAAGTTACATTATGGGACGGTGTGCGGGTCAAAAGTTTAGATCACAAGTTGATGTGATGTCTTCCCTGGTAATGAGCCTGATGCTTTTCCTGGTATTGATTCTTAATTCCCGGATGTTCTAATTCGGATGAGGTTTTACATCTTCGATGTTGACAGTATTGTAATATTCTCCAAAGGACTGGAGCTTTTGGTCTAATCGAAATGTGTTCCAAGGAGATTCCGTTTTGGTTAGATTCAACAAACGATTAAAACCATTCAGTCAGTGAAATCATGAACACAGCTCTCCTTAATTTGTAAAAGTCAAAAATGGCCCTGCTTAAAACTGCTGTCCGAGTTTGGATTACAATACTAACAATGAGAGTGATTCCCGCCAATCTTAAGATAGGTGAAAGCTGTCTAGTCGTTCGGATGGGACGAAAAACCGAGGTCCCGTGTACACATTGGCGTGCACGTAAAAGATCCCTTGGCAGTTGGAATTCGATATAAGAGTAGGCCGTAGTGCCGCTGTCCGGGCAAAATTTCCCTCATAGCACACTGTATGGCGTATGCCCGTCTTCATTAGCCCAGGTTAGGAGCAGAACAGTAGGACGTTAAACCCCATTTCATTTCATTTCTTAAGATAGGTACTCAGAGCGGGTAGATATATACCAACCAAAACACCATTCTAAGTAGCATACATGGCGATATAAAATGTAATATTCAAATAATAGTGCCTTTCAGCTGTACAAGGTGATCAACAAAAAATCAATCTGATTAAAATACAGATCTATATTTCGTTTCGTTTTTTTATACTTTTGATGGCCTAATGAAGATCTGACCGATTGTACTGGAAGGTTGCGTCAGGGGTCGTACGAGCGACTTTTGACCCTATGATGTCAGACTTTTGATTAACCAATCAGCGTTGATGTTTCTACTGGAATAAGGGGGTTGGATGGCTGAATGGTTAGCGTGCGCGCGCTGTATCATAAAGTCTGTCATTAAGTCGACTGGTGTGGTTTCGAATCCCCGGTTGTACGTGACAAGGAGTAGGGTTGCCTGTCCAACCTCGTGGGTTTTCTCCGGGTCCTCCGGTTTCCTCCCACTGCTAAAGACCCCTATGCGCAAGCGAATTATTGAAATAGAGTTTAACCATATGTTGGTCCCGAAATGACCTAGTTTGTGTCGAGTGGACGGTAAACCCCATTTCTCTCTCTCTACTGGAATACCCACAGTTCCATGCACCGCACGCCAAGAATCCGCCGTAACAGACCGTTTCATTGGCTAATCCCTCATCAATCAAAACGCGGGTTATATAACATCTCTTCCAGATCCTAGTGTAGTAAAGACAAGTAGAACGAAATTTTGAAATTATAAAAAACGAAACGAAATAGGATCTGTGTTTTAATCCAATTGGCCAAAAAGTATAATTGGTCGAGATTCAAGCGCTTGATGGAACCCAGAAACAACCAGCACCTTGAAAATCGACTGCTCAAAACCAAATACCGATACCCCGGGTGCTACTCTATGTATGCTTTATCAACTACTCGATGATCAAGCCAGTGTATCTTGACACTATTTTTTTTTTATCTCGGCCGGCATTGGGCCATTGCTCTCACGACACCCCTCTTTTTTTGTTATCTTGGACAGCATGGGCTATTGCTCTCTGGAGAGCATTGTGTCATTGCTCTCCCCACACCTCTCTTTAGGCCATCTTTCTTACCCCAGGGTAATACAATGAACTAGGGCTATGGTCTTCTTTTGAGTCCTGTCTTCTGAGTAAAAAAAAATATTGTGACAATTCTTACCGCGCTAAACGATTTCACAAGGGAAAGTAATACAATCAGTCAAGATTGACGGGTAAAACTATTTTGAAGTAATAGAATAGAAGGAATGTTGTGTGGTTGTAGTTTCCTAAAGCGCAGATTCCAGTTAATTGCCTCAGTTAAAATGATTCTAAAATTAACAGTATTCTATTGTGTGCTGTAATTTGAGATTATTTCTAAAATGAGAGAAAAAACATATGTCCAATTGACAGGGGGGTATGAAAAGCAGGATAGGCATATCTAACATACAAGGTGATTTAATAAATACCAAAGCCAGAACATCCCGCCGCAGCAAGACCATGCGAGGCAATGTGCAGGAAACATAATAACCTTGTTTCACTTCTTTCAGCAATAAACTTCTTCAAACCAGGAAACGTACAGGCACCTGTATAATATAAAGATGTAAACCGTATAAACAATGAGAAGATCTTGTTTATTATACAAGACATGGGTATACAGCGAATTTTTAATGGAAGTAAAGTGGTGGGACTTGCCTGAAAAATGGATGTTTTTGGGGGCGAGAATTTTTTTAATAATGAGACGTGATTAGGTGCATTCTGGCATATCTCCTGGATCAAAAACAATCGTTAACGACCCTGCACCACCTCAGTCTTATAACCATAGGGATCGTGGAATAGAGAACCAACGTTGTAAAAATTGATTTCGGTTGGGGTTTTTTTGGTCGGTAAAAAAAGAAAATGTTGGCTCGCTAACCTGGAGGTCCCGTATTCGGTCCCTGCGTTGGCCGAGAAAGTTCATCGGGATTTTATATATTATATATAAAGGGAGGTGGCTCAGTGAGTAAGTCGTTGGCTCGCTAACCTGGAGGTCCCGTGTTTGGTCGCTTCGTTGGCCGATAAAGTTCATCGGTATTTTACGGCGTGGTTCCACATTATCAGTGGCGCAAAACCAAAACAGAGAGCCTGACAAGGTACGGCGGATGGCGAACACGTAAAAGAGTAGGCCGTAGTGCCGCTTTCCGGACAAAATTTCTCTCATAGCAGACTCTATGGCGTATAATGTCCGTCTTCATTAGTTGGGTGGGAGCAGAAAAGGAGTAGGACGTTAAACATCATTTCATTTCATTTTATTTTATATAAGTGGGGACATAAGTAAGGAAACGACAGTATGTATATAATGTGTGAATACATTTATACGTACATAAAAGTCGTTTGAACATAACACCGATTTGACATTTCTAAAATGGCTGATGTTATGGTTACGAAGTATTGTTCGATTAGATTTCAGACAGTTGTAATATTCATCTTATTCATTTATTTATTCCATGTTAAATAATATAGGCTATATCAGATGTTAATTATTGCCTCACTCATAGAACTAGAAAACCAATCCATTAAAATATATTTGAATTGGATATTCAAGGATTTTGGAGGTCGTCTGGTCCTTGTACGCTTGATCAATACAGTCAATTTGTCTGAAAATACTCTGCCTATTCTTCCAGTTTAATATGAAACCGTTCGTGGGTATTGATTTGATGGATGTAATGAGAAATCTACAACACAGCGGATTTGCAATCAATCACGTTTGACAGAAGCCGACGCCATATTGAATTGGATGTAATGATTTGCGAGAGCTCCTCGTGACGAGTAAAGCCACACGGGGTCGATATTATATTAAGTATACATATAATTACCAGTAGAAATCTTCAGTAAACAACTTATAAATCCCACTTTTCCTCGTAGACTGGAGATCAGCCTTTAATTAAACGTTATCATGTATCCAAAATGACTGTCTCTAATTGCAAATGTGAGAGCAATAAAACTTGATCAAGGGGGATAGAGGTGGTGAAAATTGCCTAATATGTCATCAAATCTGAAGGAAAGCTTTGGGCATGTGCCGTAAAACGATCGTGTAATTATCGATAGCACAATATGTTCATAGTTTCCAGGCTTCGATTAAAAAGGGCAACCAGGTTTATTTCTGAAATCAACCTGTCATGGATGGGATTGGCCTGGACAGATTTGGAATGGGTTGGTTTGTCTGTACCGTATGAAATCAATATTAGGAGAATGGGAGAATAAAACAGATATCTTATAATCCCTACTCAAGCGTCTGTAAAAAATAGATTTCAAGAATTTCAATATGGCCAAATGAAAGAAAGAACGTGCCGTACTTTTATAATAAGCTTTGTCGTATAATTTGTCATAAAATCAGAATCGACTCGGGCTTGTAGTTTCGCGGGTTGACACTCGGTACCCAGTTTACTACGGTGTCTTACTTTTAAGGTAGATTATGCAATCAGGAACAATATTAACCAATGTTATGACTATACAATACCTTATCAATAACATAGGAAAATATAAAACACATACCAACCCATACTAATTATAAACAGTTGGGATTGATGAATAGTAAACTGACTGAGAGTTAGGCTACATCAAGGCTCTTGTAAAAATGGGTTCCAATAGAAAACGTGAAACCAGATAGAAATGTAACCGATGCAGGTTCACTGAAATCCCAAATGCAAGTGGGTATTGAGTTCGACCGCGAAACCGGACTAGGTGAGTACACTATTGTCATACAGCTATTATCTACTGGATAAGAAATGAAGACGTGTGCTATGATAGAAAGTTTGCATGAGACCTCGTTTTTTCGTCCAAACCGAAAGCCTGGACGATACCCTCCGTCCTGTTGCACAGGCATTAAGAATTCACGCTAAAAAATCACAGTTGGAATTCGACAGACTAGATGGCAACGCCGCTGTAGTGGCAAATCTCACTCGTAGCACCAGAGTGGCTCCAGCATAGCTTACACCAAAGATATAGCATTTATAAAATACAGAGTAGCTTACTCCAAAGGTGTATCCTTGATAGGATACAGTATAGCTTAAACCAAAGATGTACCATTGATAGGATACAGTATATCTTAAACCAAAGATATACCATTGATAGGATACAGTATATCTTACACCAAAGATATTCCATTGATATGATACATTATAACATACTCTAAAGATGTGCCATTGATATGATACAGTGTAGCTTACTGAGGTTTACTCTAAAGATATTCCCGTTGATAGGATACAATGTACCTTTATAGATACAGTATATTATAGCTTACTCCCCAAAGACGTAACATTGACAGGATACATCTACATAGCCTCGTTCGTTTTATCTCTTTTGATAAAGAGTAAACAAGTTATTACCTTGTACCCAATTGGTTGACTATGTGCTTACAATTTTTTTTTCGGGGATCACGTGGCTAAGTCGGTAAGACGCTGGCTCGCTAGCCTGGAGGTCGGGTGTTCGATCCCTGCACTGGCCGAGAAAGTTCATCCAGATTATCCGGCGTGGTCCCCCCTTGTCAGTGATGCAGGACGAAAAACCGACTCAATGACAGGTCTTATGATACAGCGCGCACGTGCTAACCGTTCGGCCATCCAACCCCCCAGCACGAAAATGAAACCTTGACAGTTGGAAATCTAGAAAGAGTCCGAATATTACACACATAATCATACAATTAAAGATGACCACCATATTATGTTTATCTCAAAATGGCCGAAGTATTGTGTTGACGAGATATTAAACCCCATTTCATTACTATCTGTATACAATTTATTCTGTACTGTACTTAACTCGAAGTTCATCGTTATATAGCGTGTCTAATTTACAATCCCAATATTCATGGCCATGATGCATGCATAATTAAACCTAATGATGATAGAAAGGAGATGGCCGAGATAATGTATTATTTATACACATGACTGAGCAAAACCTAATATCCAAGATAATAAATTAAGCAACATTTTGATGAACTCTTATCAACTCCATATTTAATTCATTTACTATTGCCTACCTTCACAAAACAAATACTCATTTATGCGGCCATATTAGCCATACTTGAAAATAGCAATGTGTACATTTAATAATATTAAACGTAACCCGAGACACAGTACACGTGAGAAAAATATTTCACTATGCCAAGGCCGTTTACATGAATAATAATACATTATTCATAATATATCCTGGTGGTATGCAAAATAAACGATGAACTTGTCAGCTGTGTATAGATTTATATGGAGATTATTTAATCATAAACCCTGCTTTACTATGTTGGATTTTGTAATGTTATTTAAATAATTTAGGTTTTGTGAACAGATATGGCCAATCAATCTATCGCTAACGAAGTATTGCTGACATATTTTAGCCTGTTGATACCCTGGATTAATGTCAACAGATATACTCGCTCAACAAGTATAGGAGGGGCTATATCAATAAGTATTATTAGTATGTATAGATATATGGGACAGGGGCAAATGCTAAACCACAATTTCCAAGCTTAGATAACCTTGTAAATGCCAACAGATATTGTCAACATGTAAACAACAGATATTTTGAAGAGAGATATTGTCAATATACCATTGTTAACAATGCCGAGAATGTTATCAACGTGTTGATAACCTTGTAAATGTCAACAGATACTGTCTACATTCAGATAAAGAGTATCCCCAATGTAGATGCTGAGCAACAAAATAAATAGATAGAGTAATGTCAATTTTTAACATATAGATATCCTGATAATGTCAAATTATACTGCCGATATGTAGATAAAAAGGGTAATGCCAACACATATTTTAACAAAGTAGATTGACTCGTAAATGTCAAAATGTAGATAACCTAGATAATGACAACAAATATCGTCAACTCTGAGATAACTTAGTAAACGCCAATAAATATTGTCAGCCTGTAGAGATAATTTAGTATATGGCAATAAATATTGCCAGTCTGGAGATAACTTAGTAAACGCCAAAATATTGTCAGCCTGGAGATAACTTAATAAATGACAATAAATATTGCCAACTTGTAGATAACCAATAGATAATGCCGACATATATTTTCAACATGTAGATAACCAATGTCAACAGAAATACAGATAGCAAATCGAATCTTTAAAGAACCAGCTGAAATGAAATGGGGTTTAATTAAAATAGGCACTGTTCCTTGTCAGGCCCTTCAGGCAAATCAGGTCAGGAAACTCTCAAGGAGTTTTCTCGGCAAGCACAGGGTTCGATCACAGGACCTCCAAACCACCCCCAACCCCGCCCTGGTGTATTTCACACTGAACAAACGCCCTCTCCCCTTTCCTGTAGACTCGATAGGCTATATTGTCAACTTACAGACACGGTATTACCAACAAACACCGATGCACCAATAAGCATGCCACGATTAAATATCATTTATTTTGCCCTTATCATCAACGAAATCTGATGGCCAAAAGTCAAATGTCAAGGAACACAAATTAAGAAAGAAGTAACTGCCTAATATAAGTAACATAAGGGCATTTTAAAATTAATCAATGGCGTATTTGAGAACTCTGATTTACAAACATTTAGATATTTTAAAACAAAACCCTCATTCTTTACTT